AGGGCCTAGGCCATCGATTGTTGTTCAGGAGTGCCATAGAGCATGTAGAGGGGCTACATGGAACGCCCTCACAGAGAACAGGTCTTTGTTCCTGCGTAATATGCTTGAGTAGGCTGTAGTACTTTATTGTCATATAGGCCCTAAATCTAAATAACAAACATGTCCTCAGTGAGGGCACCCCTCCTTTAATTCTGCTTTTTGAAGAATTGGAACGACGAGCCCTCTAGTTTTTCACTGGGATCAGGCGCACTGTTTTAGATGACAGAATGATAATCACTCTAATAATTTTGGCTTTATTAGGAGAGCGGGATCCATGCACACGATGCACAGACATCACTTGACACCCTGTTATTGTGGTTAGGCCTATACCTGTGCACAAACCCTGCTAGACTGGTTTGAAAAATTTTAAGTTAGAATATATGGCCTAATATTAGTCCTCTATTTGGAATAATTGAAGAATACCCCGCCACTCTAAAAAACGACCCCTGGTCACGTGGGTACAAGGTGAAAATCCCTCTGTACCTGGCTATGACTCTATGAGGTTGATCGTACGGGGTGGCGGGGTTTTCTGCAATTGAGCTCTCTATTTTTAAAGTAAATTAACTAATGCTTCAATATTATTAAATTTGACTACTTAAGATGTGTCATTGCCTACTGATGGCTGATATTCCACTGTGGGGAAAACGAAATGGCTATTGTTATGGTAATTGTAACACAACTTCCAAATTCTAAAGTTACACCATTGCACAATTATGATTCCCAATCTGTATAACTTATAACATTTTGATTTCCCTATTTCATCATGGCATTGCGATGATGCAATCAATACCCATGCCGCTCTGTGGAATCTGGATGTACCAGGTTTGAGCCCGCTCATGATGGGATTTTTTTCTTCTTTTTTTTGGATGGCATGTTTACTTTCTAAACGTGATTTGTTTTCTTTTTGGTATATTCATACCCTTGGAGTATTGTTTTTGAAGAGGGAAATAAAGTCTGAGATCCATTCACGTAGACTGGTTTGGTTTCTGTTTCCAATGCACTCAACTGGTGCAAAAAAGAAGACAGAACCTGTCTTAACTTCTTTGTGTTGTCCTTAGTATGTGAAACTCTTCCCTTTAATGTAAACATTGTCGTGTGTTTTAGGCTCAATTGTGCCTGGTGCATTCCACTTTCTTGTCGCTTTCATATCTCAACATTGTTGTGTGTGTGCACCCCACAGGCAGAGAGAGAAGCCAGTGACCGTCCTCAACGAAAAGTCCAAGTGGATCAGAGACCTGTTTTTCCCAATAAGAAATTCCAACTGCAAACCCGGAGAGGAAACTTGAAGCGATGAGCAAACAGCAAACCCTGTTTCACCACTTCATCAGTGGACCAAGAAGACAAAGCCCCAGTAGAGGAAATGGTAAGCAGTGTTGGAGTCGAGTCCAAAACCTGCAAGGCCAAGTCTGAGTCCGGGGCCAAGACTGCATTGCTTTCATTCGAGGCCAAGGCCGAGGTCACAGTCTCCGAAGCCAAGGCCAGTTATTACACACATACATAAAACTGTTGTACCGGTACATGACAATATACCCAATTCTAAATCGGTTTCCGGATCGCAACAAAAACTTGCATGAATAAAAAGTAACCATACGATAAATTCATTTTGCAGCCAGAACCATTTAACAAGCTGATTTTTTAATAAAGAATTTCTTGATTGAAAGAAAATATTTTTCATAAATAAGAATTCCAATGAATTAAAAAGTAGAACTTTTGACTCAACTTTTTCAGCCGTGCGGCAAGCTATGAACAATACTATCTCCCGCACTGCACAGTTAACAAACCCATTACGTCACATGCATTTATGCTGCTTCCTTGTAGTTGAGTTTGCAATGTATTTGTGTGCAAATAATGTGCGATCCAAAACTAGGAAAAATCGGGCATTCAGTTTTTGGCTACTTATAAACAAACAGAAACTCTACAAGTCATTTTGATTAAACAGATATAAGATGCAAAAGTTTATATGACTGTTTGAGTTTAAAAAATGTATTAGGAATCACACTTAGTGAGTGACCTATCGCCCTTTACATTTTTGTCAATTTTTTTTGGCTGCCATGATTTTTGACAAACTGTTTAAAAATGTCAAAGTGCGAATCGGAAATCTGGCCAAAATTTCTTTCCTAGAAATTTTCGGAGAAGAAGCTTAGGTTACACCTTCCATAGAGCTACACTCTCTAACTGAACTTGTCTTAGAATGTAGAGCTGAAGAATGACACAAATAACTGTACATGTAATTGATCTTGAAAACACACTAAACATGGAACACACATGGCATTTAACTTTCATGTCCACCCCACCCAGTGCACTGTGGCACATGCAAAGCTAGTACGCGCAAATTGGCATGTTGACCAGCCATCGCACGTGCGTGCCTACTGCCTGTCATTCGGAAAATCACGGTGTGCCTTCAATGAGTACATGTAGCGTAATTCAGACAACACAAAAGCTATGTGTATCCTTTTCGTGTGCCAGTCAATGAAAATAAGAATGTACCCTGGGCATACAAAACTATTTAGCTGCATCACGTCATTAGAGAGTCTAGGTACCATGCCACATGTTTGTACACAAAAATGATCTATGCACATGCATGCGCGAGTAAATGTTCCGTGTCGTGATAAAATTTGGGGGAAAAAAATTTTAAAATGAGAGAATTGACTCCAAACGGATGGCCTCGAACCGGCCTTAAATTACTCTTTGAGTTCTGGCTGGCCTCGTCACCTCCAAAGCTGATAGTAAACGCTCACTGTCTGGAAATTTCTGGACTCATGTGCGTATATGACTTGAGAGTGTAATGGCTGCCTGTAGAGGTCAGAGCTATGGCTGGCAAAAGCACATGCCCCTGTGGAAGCCACAGTGGGCATTGGCTGGTGGCTATAGCCACTTTAGGGGTTGAAGCTGTCGGTCACCAATAATTTTAAATTTCGGCTCTAGTCTTCTGATCCAATCAGTGAGAAACAAATTGTATTCACCATACATGTAGCTTCAAAATGTTACTGGCTGGCAAAATGCGCATTGAACTGAGACATTTGGCTACTGGTTAAAAATCGCCATTTGGAACCCTGAGTTTACTGTTATCCTGAGCAGTCAGTAAATAAAATTGTACAAGTGCCACATCAAGATCACAGGTTGCAAACAATGTTCATGAAACTAAAATTGTGGCTGGCTAATTATTCAAAATTTGCCAGCTGCAGTAACTTAGTGGGAGACTTTTTGTTTACTTCAAACACATCATTTAATACCTTATGCCCGTGTAAAGTAACTTCAAGGCATTCTGATCTCCAGGATTTCTCCACAACAAGATTCTGATGACGCCAACATGGTTAGCTTTAAGTCAGGTTTATTTATCAGTTTGGTGTTCTAAAACCACATGATGTTTGCTACTATATATTTACGTAATTTTCATTATTATAGGAAACTGCACAGTGATGTTTGATTAGTCAGAAAGCCTTTCCTGATGTCTTAAAATTTCATTTGGGTATCCAGGGGATGATATGTCTCAACCAGCTATGGGCCAGAAGGCCGTCAACCAGGAGAACATCACTGAAAACTTGGAAGATGACCTCCTCTTAGCCGCTTTTGAAGACTGGGAAGAGACAACACTTTCCCATCCGGCTGATGAGAAGGACAGTGCTGTTGCAAATTCCAAGCCAGACAGAAGCCAGCACAATGCCACAGTGGCTGTCTTGTCCCCACAGGAGCAGCCCATTCCCAGAGCAACGCAGCCGGAGGACCTTCCAGGATTCGACGCCTCCGCCGGGGAGATCTGGATCTACCCGACCAATCTTCCCGTCCGGGACTACCAGTACAACATCGTGCAGCAGGCGCTATTCAAGAACACCATGGTGTCACTGCCAACAGGGTTGGGCAAGACATTCGTGGCGGCTGTGGTCATGTATAACTTCTATCGCTGGTACCCGGAAGGCAGGGTGGTTTTCATGGCTCCTACCAAACCCTTGGTCGCTCAACAAATCGAGGCCTGCCACAACGTGATGGGCATTCAACAGTCAGATATGGCCGAGATGACTGGTAGTGAATCTCAATTCAAAAAGTTTACGTTAAAACTCTTTTGATTTCACTTTATACATTTTTACTGCAGATAACTCGGTAATGACTTAATGTGGTAACAGCCAATTCTTGCACATGTGCAGTATTTACATGTATATACTTTTATAGGACACATCATAACCTCTAAACACATCAACTAAAAATGATTGCTGCTTTAAGATGTTTCGGGAATGGGTCTCTACTTGCTTTCTCGGAATATTTCCTCCTTCATATTATCAGTGTCTGGAGTTCTCTAAGAATCTTCAGCTTTTTGGTTGGATGTTTGTTTGATGTTGTCTTTCTCATGCATGAAAATATTCCTCTGTTGTTGTCTCACAATGTTTCTGTTTATAGAAGATGTCAGTTGTAATTCAGAAGAATGTGAGATACCAAAGAAGTCAGTGCATTTATTTACTTCTTTTTTGCTGTTCTAGGCAATATGCCTCCAGCGGAGCGCAAGAAGGCGTGGCACAAGTGCCGTGTATTCTTCCTGACTCCCCAGGTCTTGATGAATGACCTGAGTCGTAGGGCCTGTCCGACGCAGCTGGTCAAATGTCTGGTGGTAGACGAGGCCCATAAGGCACTAGGAAACCATGCTTACTGCCAGGTAAGAGAAGGGTCTAGCAGTAATGATCAGCTAAGTGAATTATGCCAGTGTAGTTGACTAACCGTGCATGACATCACACGTTTGCAAAATCAACCCGTAATAATTGGAAATTTGCTTGAATTTTGAGGAGAGAAAAACACCATGCCAATTACTCTGGCAGGGAACATTTGGGTATCAAACGGAAATTTAGTCCTTTCTGGGAAGAATTTCAAGCTTGAATTTTGTATACTTTTTGCAAAACAGTCAGATGCTTTTTAATGAAACAAGGCCCTACGATTCTTGAACGATCATGAAGCAAAGTTTGTTTTCTTATAAATCGTCAAAAAATTATCAAAAACTACAAAAACTTGACTTCATAGGAAGTGTGAATCATCAAGATTCTCCTCATCATGCCATGTTTGCCCAATGAAAGAAAATTAGCTTTCCTGTTGCTTGAAAGGAATACCACTGTAATCTTGTTTCTACTTGCAAAATCACCTGCGCTCACGAGAGCGTTGTCACATGCCAATGGAATTGCCAATAAGGCTCATTAGCGGGCAGGCTACGTGCTGACTGAATCAGTCATAAGCAGTGTGCACGAAGCTGTAAACTAGTCGCAAGCAGCGTGAATGCTAGGGCAGTGTAGTTGACATCAGCTGTGAACAAGTCTTTTTGCAGCAAGCATGTTAAACTGGTGTAATTCAGCTGTAAGCAGCATGCATGGTATTCCATCTGACAGCCGTTTCTCAAGGAAGCCACAATCAAGGAGCTTGGAATGGAGGTCTATCCTGCAGTGTGATGATTTTCTTTACAGATGGTAGAATCACAGACTTTGGAATTCTTGAAATTGTCATTGTCTTTGCTGTAGGTTGTGCGGGAGTTATCTAATTATTCCAGTGAATTCAGAGTGTTGGCTCTAAGTGCTACTCCAGGTAGCGACCTCAAGGTATGACATCCTAGAATTTCAGAAGTCCTTCGCAATCACGTGGATCAATCTTAAGTGATCAGATTCTGAAAGGGAGTCTTGAATCGGTCATTGGGTTTTAGCCAGCAATTTTCAGTGCAGTTACTTTCTACGGCAGTGAATTTAGCCAAGCTTTGTTCTAATGAGCATGAGAACATACGAACCAAAAGGTAAAGTTTAACACCCCTGTTCCTTTGAAGCCTATTTTAACAGCAGTGTAAAGAGACAGCATCGTTAAACATATCCCGATGATACACAAATGTACAGAAATGTTTTATCATGAATGTTCTCAGTTTGTAAAATTGGATCATGTTTTGCCAGCTGTTTAAATCAATTCCCCAGAATAAGTCCATCCATATATATGTAAACAAGCATTCTATCTTGCCAGCCATACTATGATATCCCTTTCACTTCAGTATCATGTATTGGAACCATTTGTTTCCTTTTGAGTAAGATATGAAACAGAAATTATTGATAATCTCAGTAAATATGTCAAATTGAAGTGCCACTTTAGCTCCAAGATAGTGTATAACCAGTCAAAAAAATGCATTGTGTATGAACATTTGCAGAGTGATAGATGCAGTTTTGTTTCACTTATTTGCCTGAATATTGTCATAATTACACCACCTCTTCTGTGACTTTTTACACCTTGACATCTCGCGTGCCATCTACAATCATTACAGCCTTACAGAAACCAGGCATTAGTGTTTTCTACATGTGGTGCATCCGTAAATCACTTTCCCTGTTTGTTGTACGACTCTTGTTCCCACCGCAGGCCATTCAACAGGTCATCACGAACCTTCTCATCTCTCATATTGAGATACGCTCTGAAGATTCTATTGACATCCAACGCTACGTCCATGAACGGAAGGTTGAGAAAGTCATCGTCCCTCTTGATGAAGAGCTCAAGTCTGTCCGTGATCAGTACCTGAGGGTATGTGTAATCATTGTAAAAATTGGCAGTAATTTATCTTCTTTTCTCTCTGTTTATCACCTTATTTTGATGTCAAAAGTCTAATAGAAATACCTTTGCCGTCACTATAGATTCTCCATGTCAGTCATATATATAGAGAGCCGTGTCTTACACAGGGCAGGGAATTTCTGCTAAAAAATGCTTAGCAATGCACAAGGCACATATCCATGTACATTTCACAACTTTTACCCGGCATTAAGTTATTGTGGAGCCACGCATGTCTGTTTCAGTAATGTGATTCCTTGTGATGATATGTTCAGTAAACATGCATTTCCCTGGACTAAAGTAATTGCTGAGAAGATGCCTGACCCAACCATCAAACAGAAAATGTCCAGTACCAGTGCACAGGCCATGACAAGATTTCATCCGCTTGTTTTTTTCTCCATCACAGATTCTGAGTGTGTATGTGGGTCGGCTGACGCGCTGCGGAGTGCTGTATAACAAAGACCCAACCAGTCTAACCAAGTTTCAGATCCTACAGTCCAGGGATGCCTTTCGCCAAGATCCACCCCCTCAGGTCAAGGTAAGTTCAAGGGTAAGGGTGACACACTGAAAGGTCAGTTGCAGGGTCAAGGTGGTACCTCCTGCGAAGCATTCTGTGTTCTTGCTCTAGCAGTGTTTGAGTGGATCTGAATGTTGGAAAAGGTTTGGATTCGCGGTGTCCCCCCTGTCAGCACACTTAACTCAAATACTGTGATCTTCAATTAATAAGTCTGATAATCGTCTAAATGGTGTTTGACAGAAGCATCTCTTCATTACAGCCACTAGCATCTTGATAACATAAATATTAGGACATCAAATACGAGCATACAGTAAGTCTTCCATGTTCTTCAGATTCTTGGGTTTGGGGAATTCCAGTTTTTGGGTAATTCTTAATTCTCCGATGGCCTTTTAGTCTTGTGCTATTAAAGTACTTTGCTTGGAGTATATCCACTCTTTGATGCTCCCTCCAACAGTCCCGGGGTGTGGTTGAGGGTGACTTTGCCCTTTGCATCAGCCTCTACCATGGCTTCGAGTTGCTTCTTCAGCATGGCCTTCGCTCACTCTTCAGCTTCCTCCAGAGTACTGTGGATGGCGACAAAGGCTTCTCCCGCACCCGCCAGGAACTACTGAGAAATGCAGAGTTTGTCCAACTGATGGACACCCTGAGGGATAAATTTGGAGAGGAGGAGGCGGCGGCCAATCAAAGCGGACTTTTCTCAGTACCAGGTAGTAGTCAGAGTGATGCTATCTTGCATCCAGAAATAACAACACTTTTATCAGACCCAATTTCAAATTCAGAATGTTCACATCTTCTGCCTTTGACACACTCAAAGAGCATTACTTCATGCATCTGTTATCTCCCAGGGGGCACTACCCATTCACTGTTTATTTTCTTACAGCGCTTTGCCCCCCGCCTGCCGTGACACTTCCTCTTTTCTCCTCACACACGCTAAAAGGATCAACAAATTTTTTTCAAGCTGTCCTTTTCATTTCTCTGCTGGAATATTTTCAACTGGACTGCATATAGTTGGCACCCCTTCCCAACTTTTCCTTTCTGACTCCTACGCACCATCTCCCTGTTGACGTTTCAATTCCTATACTTCCAGGATACTTCCAGAATACTTTGTCAAATGAACTATGTATTCTGCTTTGATAACAGGGACACCCAGAGTCAGAGAGGTGAAGCCGTATGTCACCAGCCACCCGAAGATGGCCAAACTGCAAGAAATTGTTCTGGAACATTTTAGACGGTTTTCAGCCAATAAAGGTGCAGAATATGACTCAACACCTTAGGATGCCTAGGACAGAGGGGGCCAAAAATACTGCTCTTCCGCTATTAAAACTGAAATACCCCAGGTTTACAGTTAATAGTGTAAAAATCATTTTATCGTCAATTTTAACGTATTTTATTTGTCAGATTTTAGAATTGTAAATATATCTGTATACCAGTTGTCAATATTAAGTTGAAAATTTTGGTACTCCATATAAAGATGCCAATGATATTAGCCGTATGTTTGGGATGTAAATTTTACTTTAGTGTTTGCACCAAGTTAGATTAAGCACACTTTATTCTCTGTATGGTGTGAGAGTTGTAAAAAAAATCACAAGCTTGCTTGAGTGGGAATCGAACCCATGACTTCCAGCTAACCAAACGTCTGCACTAGCAAGTAGGAAGTCATTGGTTCAAATCCCACCCAAGCAAGCTCTTGACTTTTTTTGAATTACTAGACTACACTGAGAGTACAGTGCGAGCAAAGCATGCTTGTATCAAGGCAAAAACCTAGTATAAAATTTTCAGCTCATAATATCCTAGTCATGAACATTGGACTTCACGTTATCGATATCTTGATAATTTATAACTTTGCATTGCTGGACATCTAAAATTAGGGCTTATTGACAATAATCATGTTTGCGTTGTAGCCATGAATGTAAAGAAAAAGTCACCTCTATAATTTTCTTGATCACCTGATGATCACAAATTGATTAATTATAAGAGTGCTTATTAAAAGTAACAGTAACATTTCTCTTTGTTGCAGAGTCTCCGAGCAGTAATGGGCCATCCACAAGTAAACATCAGCCGCAGCCTGCAGCACAGAGCACGCGGGTTATGATCTTCGCTCAGTACCGGGACAGCGTGAACGAGATCGCCGAGATGCTGAACAGACACAGGCCATTGCTGCGCTGCATGGGGTTCGTTGGGCAAGCCTCTACAGGCAAGACCAGCAAGGGTATCAGCCAAAAGGAACAGCTGAGGGTGGGTCTAAATGGATCTAAAGCATTATTTAGTTATTTATTTATTATTGTTTATTTAACAACATTCAAACTTTGCGGCCCAGAGGCCAAATGACATTTGAATTTACAAAATAAAAATCAATAAAAAAGAAAACATACATCAATTTCATTACAACATTATATTATATATTACATTAAATATTTCATGATATCAATTACAATGCATGTATTATTTCATTTAATTGTACAATTACAAAAGGAGGGATAAAGATGAGGAAAAAAACATTTATTTAATTGGTAGACTACAAAAACTACAGACTCTACATGACATTTACAATAAGCACAAAAAACACAAAGCACTCAAGGACAAATCAAGGAGAATGGTGTACCAGTGTAAAACACTCTTTGCGTTTCCATTTGTTGTACTGCAGGAGCATTGATGACATCTTCATACATAGGAATCATGCCCCTTCAGTGGAAACTCACTGCTTTTTGCACAGGTTCATGAGCATTTGGCGCAACCAGTTTCTGTTGAAATGCACAGTCTTTTCATGTGCATCTTGTGTCAAGTTGAAATTTTCCACCAACCTGTCTCTTCTCTGTCAATGGGGAGTTGATTCCAGTTAGAGCAGATAGTTTTTTCTGTGTACAACAGCAATTGCATCTGAAATACCTCTAATCCTACGAACCATCAATTTGTGTATATGTATAATACTTTTTTTTGCCTATATTTTACAAGTATTTTTGATCTATGCACTGATTTTTACATGGTTGTTGAATTTCAAGGCCCAACTAAAAATGCTTTGAGTAACAAAACGATGGAAACTTTACCAGTGATTTTCTGAAAAAGTATGAATACATGAACAGCAGGCTTACACCCTTGAGCGAGGCAACCAATAGTTTAGCGGTCTTCATGCACAAGCTAAAGGAATGGTGGCAAAGTTGACCCCGCGTCTCGTATTACACAGGTCGTTAAGGAGTTCCGGGAGGGCGGCTACAACACACTGGTGTGCACCTGCGTGGGGGAGGAAGGCCTGGACATCGGTGATGTGGACCTGATCGTGTGCTACGACGCCCACAAGAGCCCCATCCGACTGGTGCAGAGGATGGGGAGGACTGGAAGGAAGAGACAAGGCCGCATCGTCATGCTGGTGACTGAGGGCAAGGAGGCCGCAGTGAGTAGGAGGAGGGGGAAATGAAGGAACCCTTAACAGCACTTTATCATAAAAATGGGCATTTTTCTACTAAAAACTAAAAGTTTTTCTACTGTACAAACGTACATTCAGATCTAAGTTACCCTCTTTGGTCTCTGGATCAACGAAGTGAAGTGTGATGCATCTTTGGGGATTAATTGGGAAGGATTGAATTTTTTTTCAACTGTTCATTAAACATTTTAGTTCGGTTGTGATTATGATTGGTGTCAGGATTTGTTGGTCATTGTTGCCAAAATTCAAAAAGCTTGTGGATGTTTGTCAGAAAATGAACATGGCAGGGCTGCATTGGTTTGCATCAATTAGCATAAGTGTACAGGTGTGATAAGATCGGAGTCTCCAAAGGTTTGATTGAACCTTGTGCATAAGATTTGTCTCAAGGTGCTGTTCCATACCGCACCATTCCATACCATATGGATGGAATGGTTCCATACCATGCCATACCATATGGATCAAATGTGGTTCCATACCATACCATTCCATTCCATTTACTGTACTTGGTACATATTCATAATCATCAGCTAAATTCTCATTTTTTCATTTACTATCAAATGCGAGTTGCTGTTTACTAGGTGTGCAAATTAGGCATTGGCAAACAAGTCCAATAGGCTAGCATTTTAAACTATTTCCAGGAATCAATCAATGGAACTGTTGCCTGGGTGAAGTACACAAGTGCAAGCACTGCTGTAGTTGCACATTACAACATGGAAGTTGACATCATACATGTTGAAAACATTTAAAACGTCGCCTGAAATTGTATTAGCAAAAGAGTATGTATGAGGTATTGTAGAACATGGTCTGTATTGAGTGGATAATTGATTTTAGCTCCCCGAGGTGTTTGGAGTTGACAAACTGGTTCATCAACTTCCACTATCTCGGAAAGCTAAAATTAACTACCCACTCTCACACCTTGTTTTATTTGTACATCTTTACTGTCACTAGAATATGTTGCAAATGGCTCTCTAGAGCCAGCATTAGCGGCATTTGGATGTACTCGAGAAGTTGGCCAGTACATCTTGGCTTTTTCAGAAGTTGGGTATTTGTCAGAAACTAATTTTGCCAAGTGGTTGAAAAGCAGTCTTTCTCATCTTCAGGTTTATGACAGGAGCCAATATAGCAAGAAGGGTATTGTAAAGGCCCTGCAGGGTAACGCCCGGTCCCTGCAGCTATACCCCAACAACCCTCGCATGGTGCCACGGGGCCTCAACCCTAAACCCCACCAGATGTTCATCTCCGTCAAGGCATTTACAAGTAAGGACACGAAGCGGAGATCCTCTACTGGAGCCAACAATGAGACGAGACTTGACTCCTTCATTGCCAAAGGTAAACTGTACCAGTTGAATACTTGAGGGTCAGTAGCGTTTACAATGCACTTGTTTCAGTGTCACATACATGTACTTTCTTGTATACCCCACTTCATTAAATGTCTTAATTATAAAATCAATAAAGCGTTAACAACCATGTCAGCTAACTAGCCAGGAAAGTTATGAATATGTCAATCACAAGTCATCCCAGACTAAATCAAGCTCAGGAATATGTTAAGATATTTGATATTTGTGACCCACTCTGTGAAAATGAGTCTTAAGTCGCCAGAGCCACTTTTTGAGTTTTTATTTGTATTAGAAAGAGCAAATTGAGATTTCTCTTTTGATGTACCCCTCAGTTTGGCATCCTGATGAAAGTGGATACTCCATGGTGACAAATGCTGTGGATTCCTATTGGTTTTCACTATGCCAAACTATTCCAAAGGAATTTTTACTTCAAAGTGGCTCTGGCGACTTAAGACTTGTTTTCACAGAGTGGGTCACATTTATGCTATAAAAGCTTAGAATAGGTCAACACTCTGAATATCTTTGGATCAGCTCTTGGCTGAGTTTCTCATAGGATGAAAACTCGCTGAGCAATAGGCAGGGCAACTCTGTCCACTACATCCCTGATCAGTTCTATCTACCACTCCCCTCCCCCCCAGCTAAGAGTAGGCAGAAATCCAGTGAGTATCTGAGCCCAGAGGAGCTGGCCTACTGGAGTGCCAATTACAAGCTGGACAGTGTCGAGAAGGAGAGCTTACCATGCATGCCCGATAGAGGGCGCTTCATCACACTGGAGGACAAGGACAAACAGGTGATTGGCCAGCTTATCTGTTTTTATCAGGAGTGAGATTGTTCAAGATTTTTTAAAACCTACTGTGGGTTTAAAGGTTTTTTGGTTAAATACTTTTGGTGGAATTATTTGCGAAATAATATTCATGCACGACTTGGTAAAGTCTAATACAGGCTATCAAGAAATACACAAAGCGATGTTACTCTTTCTAGAATACTGTGGTATGCACAATGGTTACATTGTGGTAGTGGTAGTAAAGGTAATGGCAGAATGGGTATATTGTGTATTCCCGTATATATTCAGGGTGTGCATAGCGGGGCCAGAACGTAAGTATGAAACAAACATATGCCCTATGTTGTAGCAAAACATGGATGCCATTTTGAGTGGCGTATGTACATGTGGTGGATTCCTTGTGGTTTTCTACAGAAACATCGGTTGATTTTTGGGATGTTTCACAGGATATACCTGACTCTCGATAATTTGGCATAATGGCACATCAAATAATTGACCAAGATTGGGACCTGTCTGTTGATAAAGTTGCCAAAAATCCATGGAAGTTTTCATGGTTGGAGACGGAGATGGATTGTGAACATGGTGAAGTGATAGAGCAGAAAGGGAAGACGACATTTCCTCGTAAAGATCTATAAGTTTGGACACTGCAAATGTTTGCTGTGTGATAAGTTGTTGAAGTATACTGTTGGAGGCTTAAAGAACATAGTATGCTGTAAGTGTTCATAAACAGTGTGTAATAATTTGACTTTCTTTTTAAACATGGAACTTATGGAATACAAACCTACTGCAAACTGCTTGCTGACATGACTACAGTCATGACAGTGTAAAATACAAATCACAAATTAAGCAGGTCCTGACGTTTTGATCTTAGCAGAATCTTTCTCAAATGAAAAAGACATGGAACTCCTTTTGTGCATGACATATATATTTCACATAAAATAAAGGTACGTAAAATGTACATGTATACGCACACGCATACGGTGATACATGGATGTGTTAATGCAGCGAAACGTGCATGTAGGCCTATGTGTATACATCTATGTACAAACATGTACATATACATGTACATTGATTTATATGTTTGTACCAACCGAAGTTCGTTGATTTTCCGTCGTAGTCTTGTCCCACCCCGTTTTATGCCCTGCACAGTGTGGGAGTAACACGACTACTCTCAGTGTAAAATGTCTCCCTTTTGCTTTGAGGAGATTGATTTGTATTTGAAATAAATTTTTGGCAAACTAAGAAAGTGATGTCACCCCAAAACTGTCTTGATTTATCCTGTCTTGCATGCTTTTCATATATAAATAAAGGTAACTTTTTTGTCTTTCCAGCCTTCTCAAAGAAAAGGCAGTCATCCCAAAATGTCCCTGTCCGAGTGGGCCCCTTGGCAGATCAGCAAGCAGCCTGTCCGACTGGTAGAGCATTCCCACCGCTGCCAGCAATTTGTAGAGCTCATGGAGTTCATTGACCTTCAGAACCTCACTGAAGGAGAGGACATATATGGCCTGGAGATGCAGACGTACCTGGACCCAGATGACATCCGACCAAGGAAGAAAGGAATCGAGAGCTACTGCACCAAACAGAGGAAGGATTCCTCTGAGGGTGACAGTCTCAACAAGGGAGCTCCGGGGACGAGCCACACCAGACAACCTCAGCCATCTCTCAGTGAAGCAGTAGATGAGACCTCACCAGAACCTCCCAGCAGGAAGCGCCAAAGCGAGAAAGTGAGGCGTAAGAAACAGCAGCCCATGCAGCTCATGTCCAGCCCGTCTGAGAGTAACCACAGTGATGATAACCTCCCTGATGTCTTCAATAGAGAGAACATGCATCAGGTTTCTCATGAGGTGCTGCAATGTATCAGAACTCCAACAAGTGCCGAGAAGAACAGTACCAGGTCAGACTCAAGAAGTAAGAAGAGAAAAGGCACAGACTCAAAAGCACCCAGTGCCGACAAGCCCAGAAAACACAAACAGAAACGCAAACATCTCAATCCGGTGACAGACAGCTTGACTGGCAACGATGACGATTTTACAGGCAACCTCAAGGAGGAAAGAGCATTTGGGGACAGGAAGACGAAGTCTCCTGGAATGGAAGGAGGACCTGGCAAGGTAGTCTTCTCAAAAGATGATTTGGTGAATCGGTCACAACCAGATGTGACATATGACACTCCTGAACCCATGGACACCGGCAGTGACGACAACGTGATGTTGGAACACCTGCAGAAATCGTCCGTGCTGATACAAGTTGACAATCTACCCAGCACTCTGCCAAGCAATACAGACGATGACCTGTCATTTCTGTTTCCGACGCAGACCGTCTTCCTTCCTCCCTCTGCCAGGAAGGATGACCACAATACAAGTATGTCAGAGAGCAAGCCTAGTGGCGCAAAGTCAGCAATGCCCCCGCCTCCTCCCTCCCTGTCCTCTCTGGACCTGCTGGACGACATGGATACCACCTTCAACCTCACTCAGCATTTCCAGAGCAAGTCAGCTCATTTTGGTGGTCACCAGGAGCCACCGAAGCAGCCTGTGGAAACTGCTCCTTGCCAGGATTCTTTCAAGGCTGAAGATGCTCCAGATTTGGAAAGGCTTCAAGAATCTCAAGCTAATGAATTAACAGTCAAGATGGCTTCTGAGAAAGTGTCACCCTGGGCATTTATAAATGGAAACAGTGACAGAGTGAGCTCAGAGCAGACAACAAATGCCACAACTGACCCACCATCCCATGAAAAAGCAGCAAAGATGAAGGTTAAAGATGGCCACAATGACAGCCATGAGGAAAGTGTATCAATGACACTTAGAGATATTGAACCACAGTTTGACTTAAATTTGGATTTTACTGTCGTGTCCTCTGATGAAGAAGCAGATACGCTTGATGAGAAAGAGAGAAATAAAGATGACACCTCTGGTTGGAAAAGTGGGGAACCCACCAATGGGGATCAAGGTGATGGACAAAGGATTGGAGATGGGAAAAACATTTGGAACGATGAGATGGGAAGTGTGATTGGTACTCCGAAAGCATTTGATGTGCAAACTCCATCGGTGGAATCTGTTATCACAGAGACCAGTTTCAGGGACACCAACAAAGCATCAGTCACACCGGTTGCGCATTCACCTCAGGCAGCTTTTAATTCAACAAAGGAAAGGTCACCCCGCAAGTTATCTCTTCAAAGGAGGCTCAAGAAGCCTTCCACAGTTACGCCAGAAACTCCCAAGTCTGGATTGGACAAAGGTACAAAATCTGTATTTGCCGGAAGGCTTGATAGGGATGGCATAAGCAGGCAGAGCCATGCAGGATTTAAATCAGAATCGAGGAGGGAGTTGGATTTGGAGGTCCAGGATGAGCCAGAAATCAGACCCTCTGCTTTACAAGCTGGTGGCAGTATGGTCCAGCAAACCCAAGCACAAGCCGAGATAGAGAAGTTACGGATGGAGGTTCTTGGGTCGACCAAGCCAAAGTTTGACCTGGAGTTTGACCTGGATAACCTGGAAGAGGACAGCTTGGGGGAGGAAGACGACATTGTGGCACCCTCACCAAACATGGAACAGCAGCAGGAATATATCAACCTCAGCCAGGTTACAAGTCTAAAGGGAGAGGTCTGCCCTTCTCATTCCAAGGGAACTGCCTCTTTTCAAGCAACGATATCCTCAACTCCTGTTTCAAAGGCTAAGCTTCAACTGAGGTCGGTGCCGTGTGCTGACCTTCTGTCACCAATAGCAATAGATAAGGGTGAAACAGAAAAGTACTCGGGTTTTGAGGATCACCCTCCAACTTTAACAGAGAGAGAACCAAAAGCCCCACAAAATAATAAAGGGACTGAACCTGCAAAGGGGCAAGAGCAAATGCGGAGGAGTCTCACTCTTAAGAGAAAGAGCCCTCAGATGCTCCAAACTTCAAGAGGCGACAAAGCGTCATCTTCAGTTGAGCAACTCACGACAAACTTGACGGACGGTGCGTTTCCCGGTCCAGTGGGAGGAGCCCGTGAAGGTAATTCTAGACAAAGCTCCAACACGAGACTGGCAATCCTTGGAAAGAGAAAGAGCGCTCCTATTGTTCCACTGACGAGTGACACCCCAATCACCATCAAAAGTGGGATATCCGAATTGAGTGCTTCGTCACTTCAAAACCTGCATGCGGAACCAAATGTCCGTGTGGTTAACCGTAAGGATGGACAAGGGATTCAAGGGAGTTCAGTTAGGACACAAAATGCCGAGGAAGGTGTGACCGGCTGGGATGAGCATTATGGAGAAGAGGATCCACGCAAGACTAAGGGCAGGGGAAGAGCAGGTGCATACTTCTTTCAAAGCAAAATTCATTAAACTCCTCACATTTTAAATAAATGCTAATATCCAATAAAGGCAAGGCCAATCAAAACACATTTAGGACAGTATCAATTATGGCACATTCAGGATGCTGTTCATTATCGCACAGCTCAATTGCATTAGTAAAAATAATTCTATGAAGTGGGTCAAGTGACAGGTTGAATGTTTATTCCACAGTGAAAAGGAGAATGGAATTGTCACCAAATGTAGTGAGTCTTTCCATTGCATGAATAAGAAACATTGTTTGTTTTAAACAATGCCTGTTTCGCATACAAGTTGCTCTTTTATTTTCTCATTTTGGCGTAAACCATGACACAAAGTTGTGACATTCCGAATAAGTTAATACTTTAGTAGCCACAACTGTATCCACCACATGAATGGGTAATACAGTGTTCTTTGTGCACTTGTCTGTGGCTTCCAGCCTCTTAAAAATATGAATGAAAAATGGGAAATGTCAAACAGTCACCGTTTAATAGACATAAATACACAATACCTACATAAATCCTCATTGTCAAACTGGTGGATCGTTGATCCCATGTTACTGAATTATTTGTTCTATTCAACGTCTTTTTCGCAGTATTGGGCATACTCAGAACTATGTATACGTGCTTAAAACAACGGCATATGCTCAGAAATGGTAAGGACTGGTACCAGAACCTGCCACCAAGCTTCTGAAAATCTGTGACAGTCTTTACGTAAGGGATGTTTTTTGAAGGGCATAATCACTTTTCCTCATTTTGCTATGGCAACACAAGAGTATCATCCTGTCATTGTCATTCTTTGATGTCACCAGAGCCATTCAAGGCTCACTTTGTTGACAGCGATGAGGATGAAGACCTCAGTCAGCTCATTCGGCCCAGGAAACGACGTAAAGCTGTGGCTTTACAATCTCCCAGCAGTCCTGCATTCAAGACCCCTGTCAGGCCTGCTGGCGAATCTTCCGGGAAGAAGACTCCTGCCAAGGTATTGCTTATAGAGTAATTCCAAATTTGCCTTTATCTGTGAAATGGTCCTACCTGTGTCCTAAGGTCTTTTCGCCGGGTTCTCCAGTTTTCCTCACTCCACAATCAATCAACATTTACGATCCCTTTTTGTGCTTTTTGGGCAGATGTGGGTTTTCAGGTGGCTGCCGGAGACACCTTTATATGCCTTCATGCTGTAGTTTATAAGTGTCTTTATTGTACAAGGCATTTAAGCATATGTATATGATATTCATACTTCATAAATGAGCGATTTTACATGGATGCTAAATGTGTCAAAACATGCCCATGAACTGAATGTGAAGAGTTAAGAAATGGAAGAGGGACAAAGCGGAGGCTCTGTCAACCCCACACTCCCTCCCTGTCATCTGTCCCTCTCCCTGCTGCCATCTACTCTCAGTTACGAAAGCCTCACCCTTTCTTATCACTACAAGTCCTTAAGCATTTGTTGCTGTCATATCTCTAAGCAGGCCAGTTGGGCTCACTTTAATGTTTCTTTCTATGAGTAGTAGGACAGCATGTGATTTCATGACACTCGGTGTCATCTTTGCTGAATGGTCAAAAATCTTTGTCATCACTTGTGTCATCATTCTGTTTGGTGTACACTGTTGACTTTGCAGCCACTGATTTCCAGCAGCGATGAGGACTTGGAATCACCTTTAATCAGAAGGCCCAAGAAACGCAGGCAGATTACAACGAAAGCAGATGTAGATGGCAGTGACGATGATTTGATGGGTGAGTATGCCTCACGTCACAGGAAGCAAAGGAAGAATGCACATTGATTTCATCTTGTCAGCTGTAGAATCATGTCTACCCTAAGCTGGGAAACCAAGGTTGTAGTAATGTTTGGAATATTTCACTAGACTGCAATATTTGCATTTCATTGGAGTAGTACTTGTCACTTGGGTGTAGATTACAGTTTAATCAGCTCTCGCCGGACTTCTAAGAACATGGCCAGAATTGCAAAGAAGTTTCTGAGGACATAGTGTACGACAACAGAACAGTTTTTTTTTCTCAGAACTGCATATAGGCCACTGACAGTTACCCTCACTACCATGCCTGAACTTTCTGATGATGGAAGCATTTCACCATTTTTTTGGGGGGGGAAATTTTGTTCTTATAAAAATGTTTGAACATATTTTGCTCATGGGTATCTGATATTAAATTATTATGATTATTATATTATATATTTTGTAGTCAAAAAAGCTTTGGTGTTTGTGTTACAATTTTTCATGAATTTCATATTCTGTTACAGATGAGAACTACAACAAGAAAAACACTCCTGTCATCATGAGGAAAGCTGTAAGTAAGAAACGACAACCTGCTACAACAAAGGAGCCCAAGGTGAACAGAGATCGCAAACATACATTTGTGAAAATGTCCTGTGTATCAAATCTTTTCTGAATACCTCTCTGCTCAATCTAGTGGTGGTAAGTGGGCCGTAGTCACGTCGATCACAAGTCCAGTCACAAGTCCTTTCAACCAGTCCGTTCACCAGTAACAGCCTGATAGGGTGCGTTAACAGAGGCATGAGAATGCTTCGTCACTGTTCTATTGAATAGTTTTGACTTGGCTTAAGACTGCATGACTTGTCATGGACTTACGTAGACCGGTAGGCACTCATGAGAACTTGTGATGGGCTTGATTAAAGCCTTAATTAGATTCTACTTTGTTATACTGTTTTAGTTTCCTTTTGTTGGATCAGAACTCAATCTTGAACGCATGATACAGAAATGTTAACATGATGGTATTAAAAGCACCATTAAAACCTGTTTTTGTTGTGTGCTGTGATAGATTCTTGAAAGTTTGTAGCAGCATCATATAAATACATGTGTCCCTGTTGGTTGTCAAAGAGTGAACCTGAAATAAAGTGAGTTGCCAAGCATACAGTGCTTTTGAGGACAACGAGATGGGGCAAACTGAACAAAATTGTGTATAGACAGCTACATACCAGTCAAAGAAGGAAAAAAAATGATTGGGGTTTAATTGTTCCTTTAATTATGATCAAGTTTGGCTACATCCTGAGATTGTTGCTTGTTCTTCACAATGTTGAATGCAAAAATTCACAGCTTATGTAAATTAATAAAAACCATTTCCATTCCACGTTCCCCTAACCCATTCGCCCCGTCCTCCCTCCAGACCAAGAAAGGAAGGTTTGCCTCTGGCAGTACCCGAGACTTTCTAGACGAGGAAGCTGAGGTCTCAGACACCGAGGAGTGCTCCCCTGACGAGGAAGGCAGCGATCTGGATAAATCTTTGGAAGGCTTTATCAACAACGCCTCCCAGCTTTCTCAAGCCTCACAGTCGGCATTCACATCTGAAGGTAAGCCTGTTTTTACGTAGCCGTGCTCAATTACACATCAGGTAGTAGAAGTGCTATGATACTAACCAAAATCTTTTAGTGAGATTACACACAAGAAACAGGTTCCCTTGGGGCCGGCGACCATTTAGACCCGGTTTGAAAAGGACCTCCCAGTAGCCCACCCTGTATAATGCCTCCCCGATATTCAGGCTACTCCAGGCCGGTATCAGGCCTGTCTGCACATTGGCATTTCAAAGTCCCTGATGAAAGGCTTCCCCCACCATGCTTCCACAGATGAATAGGGGTCTAAGCGGAGTAGTGTAAACATTGTATACAGCTGAAGGATTAAAAACCACAAGCAGGTTCCTTCTGGGATAGATTACATGTACCAGTATTTGCAAACAATAGACCCCAGGATGGAGAAGTTGAGATCAACAACCAGTCCAGCATCCCAGGCTGGTAGCCAGGCCGGTATGAAAGGGGTTTTTGCAAGAGGGTGAGCTTACCGGGAGCCCTTTTCAAACCAGGTCTAAATGGTCACCGGTCTTAACCCCCAACCCCCTCCCCCCATCTGTATCACACGTATTTCATGGTGGAAATTCCCAGGTGATAGATTATTTTCTGTCAAATAACCCTGACTGTTATCAGGCACGGGGTGCTTTAGACATATTTTGTTGTTGAAAATATACAAGTCCTGTAAACTTTCAGTTAGAATGTGACTGTGGGTGTAGGAGCACATGTTTAACTTCCCCTGCACAGTGGTTTCTTCCTATTCTGCTAGTTTTTTTGCAAAATAGCCATGCATGCTATGCCATTTAGGGTTGATCTTCAGTGTAAAATTTAACCTTTAACATCCCATCTGTCGCAGATATGCATGCTGTCTACATGCAGTCAGTCCACAATCTGCCTGGAGGAGGCATTTCACACCCCGCCCCCAACCGCTTCAAGATGGTGCAACATCCTACCCGGAACGACATTGAAATCTTCTCCCAGGTCCCCGTCCAAGACGACAGCTACTACGAAAACAGCTTTGTGGTCCGGGAGGGGGAAGAGGAAGGAGATGACGTGAAAATTACAAAGGGAGGCGGGAGACAGGGAAAGAGGGACCAGTTTGAAGAGAGTCTCTTTGAGAACACGATCAACCCTGACAACATCCTCTCCTCCAAGTGCAGGCGCAGGAACAAAGGGCCCAGTCGGGCCCAACAGATCTTGAAGGAAGGGAGAAAGAAGTTGCTCATGTCATCCTCTTCGACCTCAACCAGCGCCGAAGAGATTGAGGAGGGACCAAGAGGCCCAAACAGGAGGATGCATCCTAGTGACAAGAGGAAGTGCCTTGGGAAGCGCAGTCTCAGTGCCTCACATCAAGCTGAGAATCCAAGCTCAACTGGTTGGCTTTGTACTGATAAGACCAGCAAGGGTAAGTCTTCCGATGCTGTGGGGCCGACAGGGAAACATGTTACTAATCTTAAAATTTCTCCCGTAAAATCTGTCTGTCGGCAGCAGTCGAACAAAAATTCTGGCCCGACATCTCATTCAGACCGAAGTGACGAATCTCCGACTGCAACTGTACCGCACAATCCAGGTGGGTCACACCCATGTCACAGCCAGGGCTCTGTCATCCGGCAGTTTCTAGTCGGAAACGCAAGACAGGCCAACTCCTGCCCTGATGTTGTCTTAAAGCCGAAGCAAGGATATTTGCCCAGGAGACCAACAGACTCTGACGGCAAGACAGCATCAATTGCCAGCAACGGACTGACATTGGCCGAAAAGGAAAGAGTCGAGAGGTTGAAGAGACAAGAGGAGAAAAAGAAAGAATTCATGCGGAAAATGGAAGAGAAGAAAAGAGAACTGCTGCTGCAGGACCGAGCGCAGCAGCAACAGCGACATCAAACACTCCTGCCTCAACAACAGCAGAATCAGTCAAAGCCAGCTGGGGAACAGCTAAACCAACAGCGGCAGTGCCAGCTCAAACGGCAACAGCAAGCACAGCAACTGCGTGTGCCCCAGCATCAGCCACAGCAGCAGTTGCAACGGCAGCAAACTGGTGGAAAACCTCAACAGCAACGGTCACCTAAACAGCAGCAGCAGAAGGCCGAGCTGTACTGTGGCAGGTCATCCTCCAGTGCGGGACTGAATGTCGGCAAAGTGCGAGTCAAGAGGATAAACCAGCAAGGGACAAGCCCTTCCTCATGCCCCAAATCATCATCATCAACAGTAAGCAGCCTAGGCCGGACAGCTTCAGCAGTCAGTAACCTGACCCATGAACCTGGAGGAGATTTCTCTTTAGGGAATCAAGCCGGTGCCAGGAAGGATATTAGAAACATTCCTGTGCCGCCAAGCTCCATGCGAGGGATCAGTAAAAGCACACTAGCTGGGGTGAGTTGTCTGATTGGTCGAAAGTCGTGATGGAAAAATGCACATAATGACTGTTAATTTGACCCTGTTGTTCTTTCATCCTTCACTTACCCCCACTGTCATTTTCACTTTTGTCCGAAGGATTAGCACGTAGTACTTTCAAGTGACCAAAGTTGGTGTGCTATAGGTAATAAGGTGCTGTTAGTAATTGAGTTTAAAGCGAGAGGTCTGATCTTCAGCAGTGCATAGGCTGTGGGTACAAAAGAGTTTGACTTCACGGTACAGAAAGTCACATCTTATGGACTTTGTAGAAAACAGTACCATTTTGTGACAATCTTCAAGGGATTTGGAGGTGTATGTTATGAGATTCAAGGCTCAAAAGTACACAAAATACATGTAGTGAGTGTTTAGATGTGCACACAATCTGGTAATACGCTGTATGCTGGGATGCAGGGCACATTTGAGAAATGGTTTTTAAAATCGGGAGCTTCCCTTATCTGGCCTTTTGGGGGGGTAACTATTTGAGGGGGGCTATCACCATGAAGTCTGTAATACATCTCCAGTAACTTCTGAAGGGGTTGTCAAAGGGTGTATCTGTAAAGATTGCTTCCGTGTGACGCCCATTGGTCTCGTTGCTTTCATGCCAACAGTCTCAAGATGCTATGAGTTGTGGCAAGCCCGTCATCCTGATCGATTCCAAGGAGCTCTCCAGCTCTGCCCAGATTGTGTCCATCCTGACCCTCAAGCACAACCTTAACCCTCACATCTGCCTGCTGAGTGGCTGTGATTACATTGTCAGTGCCCGGATGGGCGTGGAGAAGAAATCCATGTCGGGTAAGCAGCAGTTCGGTCGTTTGATGTACGTCTACTTTCAGTGCCATCTGAGCAAATTCCCCCTGGCAGGATTCGGTCTTAGGTTCAGATCAGCTCTGTATAGCTTCTTCACCTAAACTGTTTTTCACCTACATCAGAATCAATTTTTTCATTATACCAGAAGGAGTGCTCTACATTAAGGGCAGCATGCAGACATATCGAGTTAAAAAAGGGGTCACTTCGGGTTTTGCCCTGTGGTACCTCACAAACCCTGTTAGACCTCACTTAATCTTGAGGTTAACCTCGAGGTTACCCTGAATTTTTAATTTTGTATTCTCTCCTTTTGGGTTCATCAGTCACAGAGGTGAACAAACAGCAGCCCATCAGGGTAACCATTACGTGAAAGGTAGTTGTAGAGGTGGAAAATCGACCCTTTATGCTTAATGTGTACCCCTTAGGGAGTAAGATAGGAGAGCTGTATTGGCATGATGAGCAGGGATAAAAACAGTACCACAAACTCTGATACATGTATTGGTGGATGTGCATGCTTTAAACACAAGCATCATGAGGCTTGGGGAAATGGAGAACAATTCTTCCACTTTTTACTGCTGTAGATGCACAAGTGTGTATTGTTTTTGTTGAAATTCATTGTGCTCTGTTCATGACAGATTTTGGGAATGGTGCCAACAAGAACAAGTTGATTGACCGAGTGCGTCACTTGTGCGACTTGTTTGACAGACCCTGTCTGATTCTGGAGAAAGATCGTGTCAAGCCAGCGGACGACAAAAAACCAAGACAGCTGTAAGCGTTGTCTTAACCCCTAATTTTGTAGTTTGTTCTGATGAACATATGCAGTCTACAGTGTTACCACATGTGGGCATAGTGACCTTTCCCTAACTGATACAGCAATTTGGTCCAAATTCAACTTAATTATCTCAAGTTGACTATGACAAATTTTAAATCCCATCGGTGCAAACATGTTTTAGGACTTCTAGTTTTTGTCTGTTGTCAGGGTTTTTTTTGTAAAGCCAATCAAATTTTACCAACTGAAATAAATTGTTAGTGTTTTTGTTCCATATGCTGCAGCGTTTTAGAAAAGCACCCTGTAACATGGAAACTCCCATACAATCCGTTGCAGGCTGCTAAAACAGGCCTTGTGATTGGTCAGATTGCATGAAATCTGTGACTTAATAGGCTGTCCAAATATGGTAATACTCCAGACTGATATAGGATTTGTTCATTTTTTCCCAGCTACTACTTTTAATGTTTATAAACAAACCGTTACAATTTGTAAAATAGTGAGGCAGTTTGCTGTTAACAGCATCTGCTCAAAATGGAGAACATCACATATGCAAGGTCAGCCCTGTCAGCTAGGCTGTACTCTGACTCAATACACTGACTATGTGTACGTTGCTTTGACGTCAGGTTCCTCATTTTGGACTGACGTTGCTTTTTTTTTTGAAGTATCAAACTGGTTCAATGCAGCGACTGTTGCTTTAGCTCTCTGTTTGACTAGCTGTTGTCGATTCTCTTTCTGAGGTTATTACTCTTAACAGTTTTGTTATAGTGACAACGATTAGTTGCATGACTGAGAAAAACTCTTTTAATTAATGTCTAGGGACCAGATACTTGTTAACTGCACGTTTCTTACCGCCCTTGTTAGGATTCGAACCAAGTACTTTGACAGTACATTAGCCGCTCTGAGTAAGACTCACATCAAGTTGCTGTACTCGGATTCACTGGGTAAGGGTTTTTATTTCTATTCATATCCTTAACATTTATCAGACTGAGCACCAACAGAACATTTTTGTTACTTGCCAGTGATAAAAGAGAGCTTTAAGTGTTCCCTATCCCTTTAGGAAATGAATAAACTCTTCAAGATCCTCTGGTTCTTTTTAGAAACTGCTGACCTCTTTTCAATAGGGGCCAGATTAGCTTGCAGCGGTGCTGTAAGGCTCATCGCTGGGGTGGTGGAGAGCTTTTTCCGCGGTGGTAATCCGCTCGCTCTAAATGCCTCAAACCGTGGTATACTGTTTCAAAACAAGACTGGATTATCTCCACTATTGAGAGCGAAAAAATGTCGGTAATGCCCAGCAGCTCAGTCTTTTGTGCTGAGCACGGTCTTTGTTATAAGGCCCAACTCTTTTGTCCCAGTTCTGGGCTCCTCGGCTCTGCATATAAAGTCCGCCTAGCAGGTAGTGGTTAATAAGATGACTGTGATAGCTTGTTCACGTTGAGTATTCTCCAACCAATTTGTACTTTTGAAGACTAAGTTTTCAGTGTTAAACTTAAAACCATGCATTTATATCTCTTAACTAAAGCCAAATTTTTCCAAGTGGATTCCCAAGTTTATCCCTACAGCCCCTTTCAAAATGAGTCACTTTCAATTAGATTAGATGGAGTCTTGTACTGATTTTTCTTTTGGTGTGTTCACACATCAAAATGCTTTTCGCAAACACAAGACAAACACACGACACAAAGGGGGGGCACCTTGCTTGTGTAAATAGCCAGTAGATGCCGTCCTGGTTAGGGGGGTAGCATAACTCAAATAAGCTATCCGAATGAAAGAGTTCGTGGTTTTGGTTTTTTTTTACTCACCATGAGGCGCATGTTTATAATGGAGATCAGTGGCGCGTTTGACATGCAGCATGCAAATTTATTCTAGAATGTATGGTCTTTGCGCACACGCAGAACGCGTGCAAGAACCCACTTGAAACACTTACAACCATCTGTCTTTCTTTTGCCGCTTGGGGGTGCACTTCAACTCGGGGTGGATAACATAGTGTACTTGGTTCTTCCGCAGAGGACACTGCAAGGATTCTGGCTGACTTGGTTCACATCGAGATGCGGAAAGGGGAGGGTCTGGCCCCTCTCACCTCAATGAACACCACCCAGGAACAGGTTGGTGTCAAAACGTGATGTCCACTGACCGTTTGGATCTCGACTGTGGGTTTCTAGCAGGCGGCCATGTATCCTTCACTGACAGCTGAAGAAATTTTTAACTTGTGGTTGCTTGATGCACCATTTGTATGTGAACAGTTGTGGAAGCATGATTTGTATTTTGAAGATGAGTCTGCATTGCTGTGGCATGGTGGTTAAGAGCATTGGATTCCTAGTCGATGGGTAAAGCTGCATATTGTGGGTTCGAATCCAGCCTAGGGTCATGGTGCATGTGCAGTTGGGCAAGGCACTTTGTTACTCATGCTTCTCCCCAACCAGGAGTAATCAGGTACCTTTGAGGGCAAAGATGGTTACTTGGGTTGATTTTATCACATAGCACAGAAAAGGCTGCATCGAGCTGTATACTCCCAAGGGAGCTGAGATTGTATCTAGAATGCTTTATGGGCCCAATGAGCAGGGGTAATAATAGTGGAAAGCGCCTTGCACCTTTTGCTTGGATATGTTGTGCATTATTAATGTCTTAACCCTCCTATGCTGAAGTCACTCTTTGGGTCACTTGGTAAACACCTCAAAGAAGCACAGCTGTGTCGTGTTGTGCACTGCACCAACATGCAAGAGAGTGACCTTGGGCACTTGTGCATATTTGTGCTGAAAAACTAAAGGAGGGTTGATTATCCATATTATTGATTTTCCTGTCAGTTTGAAGAAGCAAGGATTCTGTATTGGGCCAAGTGACATTTCAGTGTATGATGTTTTCACTTCATTTGTTTGTGCGATATACTTCTCGTCCTCAGGTCTTCAAATTGTATCAATCACTGCCTCGAGTCAGCTACGCTACCGCCCTGTCCCTGATGAAAGCATTTCCCTGCATCCAGGAACTCATTCACAGGTGAGCCTTCAGCACACTTACCCCATCACACTGCCAAGGGCAGATCCATTATTGCGTACAGGGGTGGTATTTTTTGCTTTCGTTTTTGATCAGTTGCGGTCTGTATGTTTCCCCAGACTTTTTTCCGTGCATGGTATTATTTGGGGCCCAAATACCAACTTTTTAAGTTGGCAAAATATTACAACCAGAGTCCTTCACAGAATTGGACTTTACAAATGCTGGCCCTTTTCTTTGTGGTCATTTGCTCAAGAAATTGTGAAATTTTATAACTGCATTGTCGCTTTTTTCAAACTCCAAGACAACATAATTGATGTTTGCTACAATGCTCGGATGTGGCCCATGGCCACCGGAGGGCATCACACATGTTCACCTTATGCAGACTTGTTCAAATCTTTGTGTTTTGACAAACTCAATAAGCATCACTCAAGCACAGAAATGAGCGCAAATATCACCCGGGGCACAGAATTTGCCGTGACATCTTGACATCACTCCCCTGTTTTGGGTACTGAAAATTTTTGTGCATTACATGTCAACCGGCATGAAGGGGGTTAAAGTTCAGCTGTAGGACACCTGATTTTTGTGCCTTACATTCGTGGTTGCTGTTTTTTTTCTCCCCTTTGGTAGTTCACCGGAGCAAGTTAGGCAGAAGACCAACATCTCCTTGCAGAAATCGGCCGAGATTTGCTGTTTCTTACAGCATCGGTTTGACGAGCAGATGATGAGCATATGTACTGGCAAGTGATGCGGGCGCCAGACAGCTATCAAAACTGACTGTCAGTTGTGAAAAAAAATGCTACTTCTTGCCATTCAACACAATGGAACTCAAATGCAAAAATATTCCTTTTGGCAAATGCTCATCAATGCAGAAATACATTGAAACCTGCGACTCAGTGGAATTATAGTATAAACTGTGATAGTCCAAGTGTTCATGTAGTTAATATACTCATCATCCCTGACACTGCCATTTAAATATGAAGAGGGCATCCCTACAAGAAATGTGCACCCCAAGGACAGTAGTACCCGGCCCATCTCTGTCCCCTTCACTTTGTCCCACCTTTAAAAAGATGAAAACTTATTTCATTTTTGAATTTTAGTAGAATTATGTATGAAATTATGGAGCCTGTATTACACAGCCTACATTGCATGTAGGTTCTAGACAAATACAGTGCCTGAGTTGTTTTAATCAGACTATGCAATTGTAGTGCACAGGTCGAGTGAATGACAGTATGTAGCCTGCCGTGACATTGTATTGATCATCGTTGTACGGTTACCAAATATCACCATGCATCAGGTTACGCATTGGATACCGTCTGCAGTTTCAATATCACGCTTTCTATAAAACATCTTTAATCATGTTCCTCTTAAAGAGATAATATTTTCTAAATGTTCAAAGTTGATTGAACTTTTTGTATTTTTGCTACTTTTTCATGAAATTGTTTTCCAGAGGTTATTGGTCACAAACTTTTTATTCTGCCTTATGTGAGAAAAGCTACTAATCAAACTAAGTGCCAATTTTTTTGTACTTTTGTAATTGTGTTGAGGAACAACCAGTGATAGTCAGAAAGCATGGATTGCAAAAGTTTTATTTTGAGCTTTGGTAATCCCATCTACTTAGTGCACAATTATGAGGTGGTTGTGAACATTTTAGGACTGTTAAAGTTGATATAAGGAAGAATGTTCACCCCAATTAACCTTGGCCTGCTGAAGGCAGTAGAATTGAGTTGTTGGCATCAAAGACTTGTACTGCCCAGATTGACAAAATGTAGTGGTAACTTGTTGTAACTGTTATATTCTGTTTGATTGAATCAATTTATGGTTGTAGCATTGCACAAAGTGTCACACATACTCAGTGATTTTATCCTAAGCGTTTGATACCAACATCCTTTCTGAATCATGCCTGGAGTAGCATAAGTGATTGTCTATGACTGCTAAGTCACTCTGATCTTCTTTACATGATCCGCATAAAAACTAGGGATGGCTTCAGATCTCTTGTTTTGTTTTAAATTTAACCATATTTTATTTGGGTCACAAGATATACCCCCACCTACTAAGAGTGTCCAGCACAAGTTAATTATAATCAAAACATCGACGTGTGTGACTTCAGCATTTAAAACTGTCTTTGTAACAACTTTAGAAACAAATAAGGTGTATATATTGATATTATAGAGCCTTGTATTTTTGAATACTGACAAAATAGAGAAAAAAGACGAGACACCAGATGTGTTGAAATAAATGTAGTGTCTTATTTGAGATGTTGTTTGAGGTGTTTTGGGGGTTGGGGTCGTGATGTTTCTTGGTAGTTTTCCAGAAGAGACCTGAATTTAAGGTTGTAGAGATTTTTTGCGTTGGACTCTTAGAAGTGATTCCCTCCTGGCTTCACAACTCTGAATGCTGGTCAGTTTCAGCCTGTGATACCAAATTTGAAGAAAGTTTCATATCAAACCATCGATGTCACTTTTCCAGCTGAAGTATTTTTGTATTCAAATACTTGGATTTTTGTTCGAGTCTAGAGTGAAGAAACATAAAAGAGGTCAAAGACTAGTTGAAGATTTCTAGACTGCCAGGGGTAATGAAAGTTCTTTGCCACCAAGCACAATGCTTCGGATTTTTGTCAGATATATTTCAATCTTTTATCAATTTGCTCAGTCACCCTCCAACCTCATCCCTTCCCTTAGTAGCAAACGTCTTTCCGATTTTGTAGTTACTGAGAGAAAACTCAATTTGTGAAATTTTCAATGCAAAATTTCCATTTTACTCAAGGTTTACGTTTCTCCCCAAATGCACTATAACTCCCCACATTGTCAATAAAATTGTGTCTCCAGAGCAATGATTTCCAATTTTCTATAACCCCACCGCATCTTTATTCATCCCTGACCTTATGGTCACAGCCGCCTGGAATGCAGCCTGCCTTCATATGGTGGGCATTGTTCATTTTCAGCTTTGTTCAGTGTTGTGTGCATACCATTTATCTTGTATCAACTTCCGTGAAGCCAGGCTTGTCATGCGCGCCTGAACGGTGGCTGATCACCGTTATTCACAGTCAAGGGGGAGCCCCTTTTTGTTTCAGTTTTTCTCCGAAGTCTACAATTTGTGGGAACATTATGTGGAATTTGAAATGTGTCATAGAAATATTCAAATATAGATTTGGAAAGGCAAAATGTAAAATGAAAATGGAAAGGAACCCATGAGAAGTCGACAACTTACCAGCTTAATAGCGTTATGTTTGATTTTTTTGGTAAAATAATTCACAATATTGCCGAGTTTCATACAAACATGTTTTTAGTATTTGCATTTTGGTGCATATGACAATGGATAGATGAAAACTATGGTTTTTCACCACTCAGCATTTTTTCCATGCACAAACGTGGGAATCTCAATTGTTTTATCGGGCCCTCTTGAATGGTTATTGTTAAAATCAGAGATATGGTTGGACCGTATCTCTGACACTTTGACCCTGTGGATCGAGATTTTCAGATTCTTATATTGTTTCTTCATTGACTAGCATTGTTCATGAAATCATTCAGTACATTGTGTGTGGAAAGGGATCAATTGAGGCTGGAACACAAGTCTGTGTTCAATCCAAACCACCTGAATTATTTCTGCAATCGTAGACATTGGGACAGTACCTTGGGCTTTGGAGTTTACAGCTCAATCGGGACAATTTTTTAAACTTTCTGCAATTTTTCCCCAATGTTAACTGGTGTTGATTCCATGCACCTGTGCACTGATTCAAAATACAATCCTTCATCTTTCATACGACACGAAGCAGTCAACTTGGACACCATTCGTTTCATAGAGTACTGGAGGTCAAGTTTTAATAGATTGTAAAATTCGGAGCAGGTTAAGAGTAAATTAAACATGACCTTGATCCTGTCCTCAATGACTGTTTAGTAACTCACCCTTCATAATAATTAAACCAAGTGGAGGTTCAAATATGCATCTGAATAGTTTAGTTGAATACAGTCTGGTAAACTACAAGATCTTGAATTCGGCACTACAAGGTTCTTGTTGGAAAACATAGGCTGAAGGATTCACATTGAAAGCTACCAAAGTAAGAAAGGAGAAAATATTTACTTAGTCTGCTTGATATACTGTATATCTCTAATACCTTGCATGACGGCACGTGCAGGCACTCATGTTATTGTTCTAAAAACTTTTCTAAGTTTTTAAACGCACAAATTTGAACATTTCCAGTGGTTTAGTGTATGCACAGAAACCATGCTCAAAGTGTCAAATCTATCAATATTCATGTTTTACATGTACATTGAACAGACTGAAGTGCACCCTGCAAGGCCGCAGATTAATTACAGCCTTACAGCCCAGTTTCAACATTTGGAAAATTTCAATTTTTTTTTACAAGATAAACTGAAAACCTGTGAATTTCTCCACAATTAAAATAATTTAGATTTAGATAATAAGAGAAGCAAATTATACAAATGTTCCTATAAACAAAAACTGAACAAAGCAAAAGATTCATTTAAAATGTGTAGCATGAGTAAAATGGTCATTATGTAATTTTAGAATTGCCTATGAAAAAAGGAAAGCTCACAATTTTAGTGAGCTCAGTATTCTCCCCAAAGTGCAGCCGCAATCCCCCCCTCCCCAATCAACACACAAGGTACAAAAATATTTAATTTCCAAACATCCAATCATATGCAGTGTTACTTCTTTTTTGACTGAATATTTCCGTGTAGATATATCAACATATATTCTGGCAACAGTCACTCTAAACAGAAGTACATAATAAAACAAATGAAACCACCCAAAACAATACCAGAAGGTTCAAACAAACCTTAAAAACCTACAGACTAGTCTTCCAACTCAGCTAGTCTTTAAGAAAAATATGACTGCGGACCAGTTCATACTTCACGCGCAAGCGAACACAAATATAAACTTGTGACATCAAATCAAATATTCGCGCTGCATGCAAATGCGCAAAACTTGAACATGTTTCGACTCGAGGAAAATTTTGGCCAATCTTTCACGACGTCCATTCACTGCATTTTCACATTCTCCTGCAATATGAACTAGCCTTTACATTAAGTGTAATCACAACTGGATTTTTAATCATTATGTCTGAGTACATATCTTTAGTCTTTAATCTAGCTTCGGCATGCTCCCATTTCTTTACCTTGGAGCCAATTTCAAACAACCTTCACCACACAAATAACAGTGAAATTTTCTTTTTGTATTACACAAATTCAGCGGTATGCATTAGGCACCATTGAGGGTTTTTCTGCTTTATTTTTTGGTTACTTAATAAAGTTTTAATTGTTTCAAAAAACTTTTCTAGATCATTTCCCACCACAGTTCTACAGCTCAAAATCTGTTCTGGGCTACTAATTTGAATGCTTCTATGATGTTTAAGTTATCATTTTTCAAATAAAACCAACATAAGCGCTAATTGTGCATTTCAGTGAGTGAAGGCTTCCATCTTATTACCACATAATGCCAACCAGAATGCAATGTGGTGCATTGTCCTGGAAACTTTTATGAAATTTAATGGCTTAGCCTCCAGAATACTGTAACTTTTGTGCATGTCGACCTAACGCTCAGGGAGTTGAAATCATCATATTTGCTTGCCGTAATGGTCTGCTAATCACACATACTACAATTCATATTGAATGTTCTCAAGGACACTCTCAAGGACTAGGAAACTGTTCATAGGTAAAATATTTATGAAACAGTTTTCAGTATTCTCTGCAAAGTGGAAAGGCAACATAAGTAAAACCCACAGCACGACGACGAGCGTAATAGTCACACTCTAAACTAAAACATGAAGCACACCAAGATGATAGCAATGAGTCTTCATCACTACCAGTCAGAGATAGCCTCATGAAATTGGCATCAGCAGCAAACTCTTCCTAGACAGGGTTAGAGCCTACAGGGAGGACAGCAGGCTATTGGAGAGTGAACAGGTCAAACCGGTTCCATCCGGTTCAAGCTGCACTTGACTGACAACGCCATTCTCAACGACCAGGGCATAGCTGAGTAGTAAAGAAGAAAAGAATGGAGGATGTCAACTACTTGTATACAAAGAACAAAGACTTGCCTTGCAGACTGAAATCTGAAAGATTCTAACTTCTCTGAGACTTTCTGTTTGAGGGAAAACATTACTTAGAGTCCAACTAGACAGATGAGATTTTTGCTCAAGTCTTGCTTCACCATAAAGTTAAGTTGCAGTATTTCACACAAGATCATGTTCAAAATGAGAAGGGAGATTTACAGCCTTGCAATGTTTCGCATCAAGTCTGAAAATTCACAGTATCAGCAAACAGTTCCATTCTTGTACATACCGTTTTGAGCGTATGTTCCCAAGAAATGCTTTTGCATCAAGTTCCATGTCTACAGCCTGAGAAGGAATAAGATCAAGTGAAGAAGGCAGTGTGTTGAAATTCCTAACCATCAAAGGGGAAACCAATTTACTGAAATGAGCCTATAATGAAAATCAAGAATCCCATTCAAGCATTTTTAGACCTCTCCATAACAGGCTTTCTTCTTTCTTTCAAACCAACAATCTTGTACATGTGTATTTACTCACCTTTGTAAATTCACCCAGGGTATCCGCCAACATACGGATCTAAAGAAAACAAAACAAGTCACTTGCCATTACTGAAGCATTAAAGTCCAACTTTGAAAACCCAAGCTAATTCCAAAAGCTGCATACAATTTCAAAGTGACAACCTTGATTTGAAAATAAACTGTACACACTCTTTTCATATTTTCAAATTAACCACTTGCTGCTGGGTGCTTTTAAAAATGCTGTGCACGCATACGGGCCATTTTCAAGATTTCAGTTTTCAAAATTCTTCAACAATTCATCATTTCATTTAATGGACATTTACACCCACACAAATGACTGTTTGGTGGCTATTCTAAGCTGACAGGCAACCTTCATTGACTCCTGAGTATTTCAGCCAGGCCTGCCGTCATGTAAAGAGAGCCCAGAATTGAGACGTGTTGCATAATTTGCTTTGTTCCAAGTGAATGTGAGTGGCGTCTTTTCAAACGCGGCTGGAGTAGCATGCAGCGGTGCTGTGTCACTCATCAATGGGGCCCTGGAGCACTTTTGTCAGCAGTGCTAATCCACGGGCGCGCTATGCCCAAAACAGTGGTATACTGTTTAAAAATAGTGATGGATTCCTTTCAAAAAATGCAAGCCGAAAAATGATGGCAATTCCCAGCAGCAGGTCTTTTGTTCCAAGTACAGTCTTTTGTTACACAGACTAGTTCCTTTGCCCGATTTCGGGCAGCCCAGCTCTGCGTATAAACCCCTGGTGCTTAAAACAGGGTTACCCGGCAACTAGGGGTTAAGGCTAAAATTCAACTTCAAAGCTGCTTTAACTGAAATAACTAGAATAGATCCTAAGGTAAAAATGGATTTTGGAGAATCAAAAATGATATTTTTCCCCATCAACAATGACCTTGATAGCTCTGCACACAAGTTCTACAAGCTCATACAACCATTGCTGTGTGGGAACAAATTCCCACATAACATGAACCTTGATTTTCATTCACTGTCACTGGGTAAAAAGAGCCTGCATTGTTTTCATGGATTCAAAAGATGTTATTTTAGATTGTCTCTCAGAGCCTTCGGTGAGATTTTGCACTATTTTACCAGAGCTGCACATTTTAGTGTAAGCACGTAGTTCATATAAGACCCAAAGAAACAAGTGACGAAAACCAAGACAAGGTGGCTTCTCCTAAGACATCAACACTGAAATCAAATATTTGCTAGAACAAAAGCTGCACCATTACCTCTTTAAGAGAAAATTGAACCTGTGTGTGTGCCTCATCAACTCACCTTTCCCTCAGTTCCATGGGCCTCTCCCCAAGCCGACATGACAAACGGATCGTTGACGGACACGCACACCACCAGGTCCACGCCTTTGGCCTTGATTGTGTCAAAGTCTTCCACATAGCCTGGAAGATGGGTCTGCCCAAAACAAAAGCAACAGGTCATGAGGTGTGCATCCTCTCCAATATCATTTTGCCAGGGTCTTGCTATATATCCAAAAACATCTATCACACAAGTGTGACATCTGCAGACTCTAAGGGGGTCTGCCAGGCAGAACAAAAGATGTCTCCTTCTCTGCCCCCGTCTGCCTTGCTGCTGGGTCACTCTAAAAGAACAAGCCACTTCAGTATTTAAAAAGGCCAAAGTCATTTAAAGAACGTACATACAGCCTTACACTGGTTTGAAGTGCGTGTGAGCCGCCATACAGCTGTGGTCACAGGACCAACCTTGTATACACATACTGATGTTCTCAAATGACCTACATGAATGGCATGCTTGGTTTCAAGTGTGTGCTGTCTGAATGCCAAACTCACTCATTCGGCAGTTTCAGAGTTAAATAGGAAGAGTGGACACTGACGGTGTCCATCAACACTCCATACTATGTTCTAAAATGCTATGGAAAATAAAGGACAATATGAAAAAGCAGTAAACTAAGTGCAATAAGAGACAAGACCGCTTTCCAAATTCCATCTCAGAAACATTGTCTCCTCAAATCAAACAGCCCCTTCTTGACTACTGGATACCTCGGTAGGTTCATGCTCAGTGGTACAATTTTTGTAGATACAAGGATGCCAAGCATAATGCTTGGGTCGTTCTCTAATATACAGCCACACAAAAAATAATGGACATTTTTCCATTACTCATGGAATGAAACCAAGCATTCCAAATCAACATTGAAATGTGATGGGGTTAGTTTTTGTGCCACTTGGAATGAAAAAATATTTGGACCTGCATTGCTGTTTATGCTTCTGTCTATGTTTCAATCTTGTGTAATTCCGACAACTACTGCATGGGTATGTACATGTCATTTTGTGTCTTTGTATCGCACATTTTCACCATTTGAAATTTAAAGAATGCCAAATTTTGCAACATTGGAAATACCTTAGAGCATCCAGGAGTGAACGCTCCAGGTACAGCGAACACAACAGCCTTCTTGTTGGCCAGCAGATCCGCCATGTTGACCTTGTTCCCAGGGGTACCCTCCATCAGCTCCACGCTGGGAATCTTCTCTCCAACCTGAATTATAACAATGAAAAATGCATAAATGGATCTTACTATACATAACCCTGCATACTTTCTTCGATCACTTGGAATTCATACAAGTACCTATGCTTTCCACTAAGGTAAAAGGGAAAAAGCATATACACAAAATGTGTTACAAGCTTAAATAACACCATGTATTTATCTCTTCTTTGAGTATGTGTGGTTCTGAGAAGAACCGGGGAATAACTCGACATTTCAAACAGTGTACTCTGTCCGTCTTCAGGAGACCCCTGAGTCTCCTGAAGACGGACAGAGTACACTGTTCGAAACGTCGAATTATTCCCCGGTTCTTCTCAGAACCACACATACTCAAAGAAGAAATAAATACATGGTGTTACCACAATCTTTACTATAAATCTAGTTTCTTTCACCATGAAAACCTTCAAGTCTTATAAGCTTAAATAAAACAAAGAATGGCTGAATCAATGGTATGGCCTAGGCCTAAATCATGTTGCTGATTGCTGCAATTAAGAATTCTGAGAGAATTCTATAATACAGACGCCACTTGACGCCCTCTGCACAGACCCTGAGACTGGTCTCGAAAATTCTTAGAGTTCCACACACAGACAACACTTGATGCCTGTGCACAAATCTATGAGACTTGTCTGAAAAAACTTAATAGATTTCTAAGTAAATGCTCCGAAAGTTTCTTAGCTAAATTTCACTTTTTAATTTTAAGACATGTTATCACTTTCTGATGGCTGTTATGATATTTAAGGGAAAATTACTGATAGTATTGTCCCTATTTTGGGGACTCTTTCCAAATTGTTAGTATTTTTTTAACCGTTTTGATATTTTGCCCTCCTAAATTTGACTCTTGAGCGTAGAGGACATGTTATCATTTTTTGCTGACTGATATAAAAGATACCACCATACCATGGCACTATAATAGGAAAGTAGGGGGCGTATTTTTATTATGCCTAATATTATTATGTGTTGTCTCTATATTATGGAACTCTTTTCATCTTTCAACTCAACTGACATGACTGAAACGGTAGAAGATTATGACTTTCGTCCAACACTGAACATGTCTGCACTAGAGTTCATTATGTTCCTCCCTTGTCGACGCAACAGGTCAATGCCGGTTTCAAGGCCTCTTTTAACATATTGATATTTAAAGTTGTAGATCCAACCCCTCCCCCTTCCTCTAATCTCCCAAACTTGACACAATCAAAAGAAACAACAGGGAATAAAATAATCAGTCTTTACCTTGATTGGCATGTTTCTTGAAGAAGACGTGGACAAAGAACGACAGACTGCAGACAGAATGCGGTGGCCTGTTCTCGCTTGACTAAGCAACATTAGGAATTCTTTGCAAATCCAGCGCGCGATGATAATCTGCAACGAAATTTATTATTAAATATGTAGGGAAAGAACGCCCCCTATCGTTGTTTCAACGAAAATTCACAGCATGACCTCGGCTAGGATTCCTCAATGGTAGATTGGGTATAAATTTCCGCATGTAAATTAATTTTGCATGCAATTCGAAGAATTGAGCTTTAGTCAAGACAATGTAATCACTGTTAATCTAATTTTAACAGATTTTGAAACAGCTTAGAAAAAGATTGACAACACATTTTGAAACTTAAATTTGGAATATTTTTAATATTTTATTTAACCCATACCTGCAAAGAGTGGTATAACCGCATGCCCTTGGATATTGTAATAACACGTGCATTTTCCCTGGATATACAATTAAAATTTCAATTTTTTAGTATGAATTCAAGCGATTTAGACGTCGATCCAGAATTGCGAGCAGCCAGTAGTGAGCAGAGTTTGTTGTCCAGGCCAGATGGGTCAGCAACATTTACACAAGGTTGGTATTTACACGTCTGTTCCTTGCTCTCTGTTAGAGCATGGAGGAAGGAATGTTGTCATGTCATACCTGGTTGTATAGTACATGTAATGTATGATGTACACGTAGATTTCTCTTGTTTACAATCCCAAACATCCTCGCGGTCGGAGGTTGTTCCATTTATTGCACTCACGTCTTACGGTCTGGGCAAAGGGGCGGAAGGTTCCATATTTTTATTTTATTCTTTACCCCTCTTTAACTCTTTTCATTCTTGACCTGTCTCTCTGCTTTTTCTCAGTCCACCTACCAACATGACCAATGCAAGGGTTTATCACAGTTTGTTTATTTGTAGACATACAGGTGGTATCGCTGGGAATCCAGTTTATGATAGACAGAATTATAAGTCAAGAAACAGAGCAGACTAACTGACCCCGCTACAGTAGCATTTTATGTTGCTGCAGAGAGTCACTGGTAATAGTAATACATGTACATGTATGTTCCGAATGAAGATACGGCATGACGGTTGAATTTACTCGATGTAAGATGACGTCATGATCAATATTTACACAAACTCTAATATTCATGATGCTGAATATTAAAATAATTGAATATTCAAGTTAATTTAATATTCCTGAATAATTAAATGCCCATTTTTAGTGGTTGTTCATAGATCATTCCAACTTGACAGGGGCTTCCGCAAGTTACGTGAATCCATGCAACTTTGCCACCCCCAGGGCTGCGCAGCTACCCACAAGACTAACGTTTTGTGTTGGGTTTCATAACGAGTTTGAAACTCTCAGTGGAATCTGTGGACCATATAATAACGAGCATAATAAAGCAAGAGAGGTCCTTTCAAGACTTCAAGTTGACTGGCAATTTTGCATAAACAGGGGACTCCTTATTGCATGTAAGTTGACCTTGCCAGAACTTCTGGGTAGTACAGTGTACATGTATGCACTAACCCTTAATTGTCAGTAGACGGCAGGTGTTGGGAGTGCTGTTTTAGGTTGAGGTGGCCAGTCAAGAGTCAGTAGGGACTCTTACATGCTGTAACACAATTGTTTTTCCAGCAAAGCTTGGGAAGGAAAGTCTTAGCAGAAGACTGTATTTTTTTCCCATAGAAGTCCCTATAAAGGATTGTCCAAACTTACGAAAGGTTCCTCTGATAAAATGTCGGACTTTCCTTCCCTTTAAAAGATTCTCCTTGACTTACGACTTAAAAGAAAAACAATTTCCCACTTTCAACTGTACTGGTTACCACAGTGTTGTATGCATTATTTGTACACAGAAAATTCATAAATAACTTCTTTTTAACTGAAAATGAAGGGCACAAAATTGCCTTGTGGTATGAACAGTCCATATATAACTCCCCAAAAAGTTTAACCATTTACTTCATTGCAAACAACTTGGCATTGAGTCATGATCACTGAGTAGTGATGCCGTTCTTGGCACACCATGCACATGTGCCACACTCACCCCCAAAGTGCCTCTAGACAGAAACATATCCCTCGTAACGGAGTGGAACTAGCTACATGTAGGCTATGATTATCCATCACAGTGCACTTGCATGCACATCATATTGAATACTCGGCTGAGAAACTAAGTTCCTCTGATTTTTGCATGTACATGTAGGCCAAGGCCTACTAACATGACAGATGTTACTTGGTACTTTGTACATGTATGATAGACATCGAGATGTGACTGCGTGATAATGTTAGGTGGGGCTCTTTGTCCCACCTTTCAGACATATATATGTAGGGCCTAGAGGCAGAATGAGGAGCCCTGTACTATGGTGGAGCCAAGAACATGGGTACTCAGTGGCCACTTTCCCAGAACTACATTTGTTACAGACAAACACTTGTACTGGTACCTGCAAATCATTTCAAATTGTAAGGAAGTTGAATGCACTGTCTACTTTAGGGATAAATTTGGGATGATTTTGAGCAGTATTTTACATTTCAACTACAGATTGGAGAATGCCATGGCCACCATGTTGAGAAAAACAACAGGGAAAAACTTGGGGGAGGGGTGCAAGAAATGCTTTTAAACATGACACATTAAACCAAACAAATGAAATTCTTTTAAACTTGTCCCCCTAAGTTACATGTACTACACCCCTTTTCACCCTTCCTAGTATCCTCCCCCCATATTGTTGGCCCTCTTTTCAGATCATAAGGGTTAAAAAGAAGAAAACATGGCCAAAGAGTATGGAATTTTTTTGGAAAGAATGCCATACTTCCGCCCCTTCTATTGTTATACTTGATGAGGTCCATAAGTCCGGATATATGGAAGCCACTGGACAACCTGTGCACGAAACCTATGAGACTGGCCTAAAATATTGAGTGTTTTCTAATTGAATGCCTCAGTATTTTTTAGGATATTTTCTTGCTTTCGGATGGCTTATACATGTAGGTCACTGCATGGAAAAATGTAAACTGTAGTTTGCGTGAAAAAGCAACTTTTTAACCTTACTTTTCAGTTCTTGTGACAAGCACCACAGACTTGGATGTCCTGTACATGTACAAATTATGTCACCCATTGTACAATGTACGTTCATGTACATGTATGTCAAAGGAAACAAGCACGGTTTCTCCATTGTCATAATTGTTTTTGAAACTCTGACATGTCTAATAACTATAGGGTGGCAGGAACCAGACAGTCCCCCAGGGTCAGCCCATCCTTTCTGTCATTCATTGATGAAGGGTTCCCAACCATATAGTTGGGCCTGTCCCAACTAGGTATGGACAATGCTCATAATGTACATGTACATGTACACAGACAGCCCATGTTGGATGAGGTTTTTCAAGTTTTCACTCTGCTGTCAGTGGAGGTTTTCTTGTTTTTGATTGAAAAGTGAAACCTGTGATGCAACTTTTAAAAGTTTTTCCTGCCTTTCCCTTTAGCCATCAAAACGTGGACTTGTCACTTTCAAAGCACTCGAGTCCCCATGCCTAAATCAGTTCAGGATGCCTCTAGAAATTTATTTTGGAACAAAAGTCCTCACCCCTCGGTTTGCAGCATAACATTCATGACCAAACCCTGGCGTAACATCTGGGGCGGCGTGGGGAAGGGTGTCAGACAGGTGGCATAGGAGACCATTCCCATTGGTGCATGTTGGTGCTTAGCAAGTAAACAAGGACGTGTCTCAATCACAGAATTGACTGCGGCTGATGAATATGCATGTACATCGGAAATGGTTGCAGTCTCTGGATATTGCCTTCCACAAGCATGTGCACTTGTCATTCCTGCTTTTGCTAAGTAATTCAGACATTGCCAAAGAAGGAAACTGTGAGAGGGCATAAGCCTCTGGGAGTGAGAGGAGTTTTTGCTGTTTTTTTTTCTTGTGGACAGCTCCACTCAAGGAAGGAATTTTTTAAAAAGTGGCACTGAAGGTTGAATGCTAAACTTATACTTTTTTAACAATCTGATGCATCGTTTATCTGCACAAAGCCCAGTGAATTTTCATTGACCCTAACATTCCTCCATCCTCCAGTTGCAACATGATTTTACATGTACATTGTACATGGGGGGATTTTACACCCTAGGGGGTTAGGGTTAGTAGAAAGCTGAACTTAATTAGACCTCCATGATTAGTGCAAGGTTTGCCTCCAGGTATGTGAACATCAGTCCCAGCTTTAACAGGTGCATGCATAATTTACCTTATGGAAGGCAGAAGGGGCAATACATGTGTGGCATCTCTTCTCACAATTACTTCATTTTCTTCATTGGTGGGAGCTCCGTGCAAAATCACCTAAGAGAAATACATGTACCTTGTTATGAATGACCTAATGGCTCTTCTCTTTGGCGTAAGCAGGAGACACGTCAGTGATGGCAGCTGTCTATGGCCCTGCCGATGTGAGGCTGAATAAAGAAATCATTGACAGGGCTACAGTAGAGGTCATCTACAAGCCCAAGTCCGGCATGCCTGGTGAGTGTCATTTGTCTGGTATTCTACTGCATTAAGGCATAAGTAGAACAGTGAGTGTTGATTAATAGTTTGAAATCAAGATCTTGAGTTTCAATTCTACCCCCATCCCTGTGTCGGAAAGATGCATTGATTTTTGAAAGATTAAAAAATTCCTTTCTTTTTCTATCTAAAGTAAATAATGTAAGCTTAGTTTGTTATTGTTAATTATTAATTTTCATTGTAAAAAACACTTGAACTTGAATCACTCAAATTTTCCACGAGCTGTTATGTCGCCCTTTAGTTTTGTTGCACGCATAATTAGATTGATGTCTCCTGCGTGAGATGAACAGCACAGGACAAAGATGCCCCAACTGACACAAGCAAGCTACTTTGAACTCTGTAACTTTGTGAAATTTTTATACCCTAATCACCCTTCCACCTTTAGGCATCAGAGAAAAGTCTAAAGAGCAGCTCATTAGAAACAGCTGTGAGGCGGTCATCCTAACAACCCTACATCCAAGGTCCTCCATCACCATAGTAACACAAGAGATACAAGACTCTGGATCTGTATCCTTTTCACCAATGCGTATCTCATACTCCCCCATTTTTTCTTTAATCTCCTAGTGGTTTTGGATGGCATTTGATTTGTTGGGTTTCTTTTGTAGAAGTTTCTCTGGGTGATAGTGCTTGCTGCCCTCTATTGGTCATGTCTAGTTATGGTGAAGTGTGTCCAGTGGCACCAGACAACACCGTTGGATTCTGCATTGTTGCTCAAATGTACAAATTGCCCATAAGTGAAAATAAATCAAGTTAATAACAGTTAATAGCTACAGCTGTTCAAATCCTAATATCCATAGTCCCTTTGGCCAAAATGCATCCTCGGTCCTTCAACATCCTCCAACTGCCTCAAGATAAAAACCAAATACAGCTCCAGTTCTCCCAAAACCCTCCATTATTTCTTGAATGTGTTCGTTAGAGGGGTGACCACTGTCTGTTTGTGACCTGCATGCTGGCTCATTTTGATATGAAGTTTGCCAGAATTCCCCTATAGTTCCTTACAGCAGCCTATCAGCTGTTGTCTTGCTGTGTCAATGCCTCCTGCATGGCCTTGATGGATGCTGGTATTCCAATGAAGTGTCTGGTTGCCGCCGTCACATGTATGCTCGACAGTGACGGGAGGTTGGTACTAGACCCGACCGACAAACAAGCAAAGGTAGTTCAGTGCTCTTTTGGCCAAGGTTCTAGATCACATCATTTGAACTCAATGCGTCTATATAAGGACCAACGGGAGTTCCTCTTGTACATGTAGTTCTTTCTTGATCATTAAATTGGAATTTGATGTATTTATTTGGTTCCTGTGGAAACTGTTTCAGCTGGCTAATTTTCTTTGTTTCAGGATGCCCAGTGTTTAGCTTCCTTTGCTTTTGACAGTCGACACAAAAAAGTCATCACTTCAAGTTTTCAAGGCTCATGTACAGTACAAGAGGTCAGTGTGACATCTCTCAACTCCACATTATCTAAATTAACGTCATATTCATTTTATTAGATAGAGGGTCCTTGTCTACCAATTACATACAATATATGTAATTACGAAACCATTTTTGCCCAAGTGTAGTGACTTGACGTAACCTAGATGTCATTTCCCTCTAGAGGGCTCTATTAGTTTGAAATCAGTGTGGCTTTTGAGCTCTCAAAAATGTATGATTTTTTTTCCTTGCCTTATTATTCGCAACAGTATAAATGTATGTTGGAATACATAGTTTAGGCTGGTAGGAATTCTTATACCTTGGAGGCACCAGTAAGTAATGTGGTGAAAAGCATTACCTTTTGGTTTTTCGTTTGCTGTTGTGGAATGTACTTATGCAACACTAGCCACGCATTACCCTTCTGACTTTATTTCTGTATTGTTTACCTGCTGAATTTGTTAATATCTTGCCTTTGAGTCTCCACAAATTACACCAGGTTTGATTTTTTTTCCTTAGCTGACTCAATATGAAGTCTTGCTATTTTTGAGCATACTACAGTGATAACTTGCACCTATTGGTTTAACTTTTGCCATAGCTTTTGCTCAGAGCTTCAGTTGTACTCAGAACTGCATTGAAAAAGAGCACCTTATTGATCAAATTACAAGTTTATGTATTGGCCTGTAGAGACCCTGTTTTGGCAACTTGTTGAAGAACTTTCCTTGTTAAAATACTTAGAGGGTTAAAGGACACGCAGGATCAAGTACACATATAGTTGCCCCTACACACAGTCCTGGTGGATCACCAATGAGAACTTCACTTGGCATAAAGCTGTGAGACACCCTGTATGATAATTAGGTCTGACATCCAATTAGAGAAAGCTTGAATTCTTATCTCTCACACAGTAAAGTGTTACATATGGGCATTTGAAATACAGCTTGTGTAAGAGTTTATGGACTCTTACTGATTGTGGTACTGGGTTCCTGTTCAGGGAAAATGCATTTCTTTAAGAAATGAAGGTAGTATACTCCCTGTGGCTATGACATATGTGCAGGTATTTTCTTTAAAAATGTAAAGTACAGGAAACACCAAGGCCAAAAAAGTACCATTTTCCATTACAAGGCATCTGGAAACAGGGGTTGGTGGGTAGGATGTTTCAAGTACTATTTTAGTACTGATTCAGTGTGCAGCTGGGTGTTAACTGGTTTAAAATAACACCAAGACAGGTTGGATGGCATTTGTGCCATGAAATGAAAACTTTGAATGGTATTGATTGCGTTCATAAATTAGTCTGTTGAACTTCTGCACCACATTGAAACTACAGCTACCATAAACACATTGGGTTAGAATTCCTAAATATTTCCAGTGTTGCATTTTCCCAAAATTGTTTACCCCACAACCTGTAGGGTTGTGCCATCAGACGGGGGTAGGTCAGGAAGCAAGAAGCATGACTGAAATTGGTGTGAAAGGGAAAGAAATCTTTTTGGGAATGGTAAAGCGAGCTTTAAATGGTGTATGAAATAAGCCGACTCATTCAAGACTTTGCCAATCTACAAGGAGTCAGTGTGAGTGTTTGTTTCATTTTGATGTTGTCTGTCCAGGGAGGTCATTCAGCTAATCTTAGTAAATCAGGCATGATAGTGTTGTTTATCATCAGGATTTTAACCAGATCCAATTCAAAGGACAACACTTCACCTATCAAACACCACTGCCATTATCAAATAATGCTGTTGATTTTGGGTTCATTCTACTGCACTGGGACTATTTACAACAGGTCCGCAATACTCAACACCTTTTCACGCTCTTTTCACTCTTTTTTTAGTAAAGCAAATATATATTTTTAACCAGATTTATGTGCCTCAAGCACTGGAAAGTCCAATCCTGTTTTTTGTTATTTTTAGACAGTTTGTGATTCCTTCAAGAATTTTGCTGGGGTTAATCTCAGAATTTTATTGGCACTGCGAATAATCCTGCTTGTATAACTGGTTCCATTTACCCAGGCCACCGCCCACTCTGACAATGACCAGCGTGGTCAGCATTGCTCTGAAGTCATGGTTCCCGTTGCACAACCAAGGGTACACTGTCCCCTGCACTGTGTAAATGAGTTACATAAATTTAGTCACTCGGCACATGTTGAGCAATGTGCAATGGAAGGAGAAACTCAACTTGATGTCAAATTTAAAAAATATAATGTTTCATCAGTACCATAACCAGGGTGACATTTGGAATTGGGCATCCAGGGGAGCTCACATCTATTCAAGTGGGCACTGCAGTTAAGTTAACTGGGTTGTTTATAGGTTTATCTCATTTCAAAGTTTAAATCTTGGGCAGAGATTTCTCCACCGAGCCCGCCCCCCAAATTAGTTACATTTCATTTCATGTGGGTTTGCTGCTTTAGTTCCAATTTTCAAAGATACACCTAAGGCCCCTTCTATATTCCGTCTTCCCTACCCCACTGGTTATCCCCCTCCCCACCTGCACCCCCAGGCTTTCAGCAAAATTGCAGCAATGAACAAAATTAAGAGCAAAAAAATCACCCAGAGCCAAAAGAGGTTGGGTTTAATTTAATATGATGATTCAGATTGCTTATTGCTGTCTGTTTTAACAGACGGTCCATGTGCATGGAGTTTACTGTGCACTTTCTAATCCCGATCCTAATTTACTTATATTCACTTATATTAATCTGTGCAGAGGAAAATATTTGCTTGTGTTATTACATTATGGTCTTTTTCTATCATAATTTTTGTATCCGAGTCAGATTCATTTTGGCTTGTAACAAAAATATGTCGATCTTTATTCCTCCTTTTAGTATCAGTCTCTCCTGGCGTCTTGCCAGACAGCCAGTCAGAAAGTGTTTGACTTCTATCGGACCTCAGTGGAGCATAGACTGACCAAATCATGATGCACACCTTCTCCTGTACTTCCATTCATTGGTGAGGGCTCGTCTTTTTTTAATCTCAAATGGAGCAATGACAGACGGTCCGTTCATAACTGATTTGCTCTGGGGTTTCGCTTCCCTCCCATTTCTTGTGGGTTTTTTCTGATGCGGCCTCATTTCAAATCCAGAAGTGAACCTTTATTGAAATGATAAACAGAGAACAGATCTCTGTTAAAGTATTAAGGGTATTGGTAAAGGCACCTATATGTAATTGGTAGGCCCTACAGATTCTACAATGAAAGTTTAGCAGGAAGCAAGAATGATAATTAAAATGTCCTGCATGCCATACATTGCTAAAACTGCCTTTGTAAGCCTCTTTAAATCACTTCAAATGACAGGTTGCTGCATCATCTTTGGAAGTGCCATGAGTGGATGGGTTTTTTGGCAGTGCACTTTCATGTTTCAAGAAGGAAATAAAATTGTGATTGAATGAATGCCAACAATCGGCAAATTTGCTTTGGGAGTACATTTTTATCCAGTTTTAGCCTCAACCACTGGAAAGTCCCGTCTTTTATGTGTGTGTTGTTTTTAGATACCTCACAGTTACTAATTCCTATCAGATAAGCAGCTAGGATTGATCTCAGAAGTTTATTGTCTTAGTGAATATGCCTGCTTGTACAACTGGTCTCGTTTACCCAGGCCACCGCCCATTCTGACAGATGACCAGTGCGGTCAGCATTGCACAGAAGTCATGGCAACAAAAGTGGACTGTGAAACTTTGAACAAACCGCAAATATAAATATGATAAGCACTGGTCATATTTATCATCCTGTACTGGTTCCTCTTACATAACCTCAAGGACTCTGTCAACCCTGCTATTTGCAAATGAGTTATACCGATTAGTCACTTTGCACGTGTTGCACAATGTGCGTTGGAATGTCAAAGAAAAAAAACACAGATTGGGTGTCAAATATGGATGCTTCATCAGTTACCTAACTACTTGTACTTGTAGGGTGAAATTTGGGAAGGAGGGTACCCCAAGTTGCTCTCATCTTTTCCGAGCAGATACTGAAATCATGTGAACTGTGGCTTGTACAAAAGTTGTGCACATTTCAAAAAATTAAATAGGCGGGGCACTAAGGCAGAGGCACAGATTTCTTCACCCAACCCTACCCCCCCATCATTGCTGCACTTCATCTCATGCATGTCTGCCTCTTTCTTGTCGAAGCTTTCCAAGATTTTGCTCAGATATAAAGGGTGACAAAAGCGCCTTCTCTTTTCCCCCACCTCTCTTTTCTCTGTCTTTTAATACTAACTCAACAGTTTTCCCCATCCCCACCCTGTGGTCTTCAGCAAAATTGCAACAGGGAACAAAATTAAGAGTTTAAAAAAAATTGCCAGAAGAAAGAGAAGTCCGCCTGTAATTGAATCTCATAATTCTTGTTTTTTTCTGCATGCTGCCTTTTAGAACATAATTTATATGCATGGAGTGAACAGTGCATTATCGAATCCCAGAAATCAAAATTACTGAACTTATACCTGACAGAAGTAATTGTTTGATTGTATTGTTTGTCAATTTTGCTTTTTAGCCAAGTCAAAATTACTCTAACGTGCTATGAATATTTCTGTTCTATCTTTTTTCTGCTTGCAGTACTCGTCTCTTCTGGCATCTTGTCAGACAGCCAGTCAGAAAGTGTTTGACTTCTATCATCCTCAGTCGAGCGAAGACTGAGTCACATGTCATCTCTTGTGGTCCAAGTTATTGGGGAGGGCCTGTCTCCTTGGATCCCCAGATGGAGTAGTCTCAGACTGTCTCTTCACCCATGAGTCGCCCTGGGATTTCAGTTTTGTCTGTCGTGACGGTTTTTCTGACGTGGCCTGATCAGTACTGATGAAGTAATTCAAATGCAGAAAAGAAACCCAGCTGATATAAATAAAACATGGAGGATAGATGTGGACTGTTGAAATTTTAATGGGGACTCCTGAAATAGTGTCGCCTCCTTTGTGGGTGAACATTTAGCAGAAACCCTGAATGACAGTAACATACCACATATCAGATCACTGAAACTGCCTTTGCGAAGTCAAGAGAGTGCCTCTGTAAACTACATCTTCATGTGACATGTTGCCACGTCATCTTTGGAAATGCCATGTGGGCATGAATTTTATTGGCTCTGTGTCTTTATGCTTCAGGGATTACATGATTGATGGAGCTGATGATAATGGACCAAGGCAAAGGCTCCTTGCCAGTTCTATTCTCATTCAGATATTCCCTTTTTGTGTAAAAGTCAAATCTAGACCAATAGTGTATATTTTTCGTACGATTCAGCAATTTTGACTTTTCTTAACTGGAGTCAAATCCCATTGATAAGAAGTACTTCGGACTTTGCATATTACCTTGTCATGAAAGGAACCTTGTGCAAGTATTATCAGTAATGAAAAAAAGCAAGCGATTAGGACCCAAAAGCTTTCCTTGTTGTATTAAAGGAGAATGTTGTATCAACAGTGCTCATATTGACAACGTTCCAGTGTACTCTCTGGTCATATCTGCTGTAAGTGATTCTTGTGTTTCAGACTTTGGTCCAGTTTGTTTTGGATCCAAACCTCGATCAGTACTCCATCATTGATTCACTGACACCAGAACCAGCCTGATGGATGGAGTGAACCAGCGATGGGATCACTGATCAATAACCAGATCTGTGGGAAACAAACAGGCCCTGTATTATCCTTTATGGCAGTTGGCACAGTTGAGCAGCTTTGCATGTGCCAGTGTAGAGTGAAGTTCTTTAATCTAGCCTCTCGTGTGACACGTTGCCATGTCATCTTTAGAAATGCCATGTTTCCGCAAGTTTTATTGGTTCTGTGTCTTTGGTCGTTTTCAAAACCCCCCATTCTTGTGTGGGATGATCACAAGAACTGCATGTCAAATGGGGAGAATCAACACAGGAACATTGTTCACGAACAAGATTCTCACTCCCTACTTACTTGGGAGTGGATGGAGAACGTCAAGAACAAAGATGGCAGACATTCACACATACCGCAACTTAATGTTCATTATATTACATAAAATAGGAAACACTCACAACAAGGAAAACATAACCGAAGGCTTATACACATGGCTGTAGGAGAGAATTTACCTTAACCATTTTATATGGAGATTTTGGGATTTAATTTATGCTAAGATCAATCAATGTCATGTCATCGTCTTATTTAGTGTTAGAATGGCGACTGCTATATTGAATTTTAGCGCAGCTGCACTCGCTTTGTACTTCGGCGATCGTAATCAATGACCTGAGAACACTATTCGTGAGAGGGATTATGTGTTTGATGGAGCCGATGATAATGGACCAAGGCAAAGGATCCTTGCCAGTTTTAAATGTGATTATTTAAAACCACTCAGTTATACTCTTTCATAGCCCTTTCATGTAAAAGTCGAATCTAAGACAAAAGGTTATAGCTTTCCTATGATTCATCAATTTTAACTTATTTTCTTAAATACAGTCGTGTCGCATTAATAAAAGTCTTTTGAACTTTGCAGAGTACATTGTTATGAAAGAGACCTTGTTATATCGGGAAAACAATGAAAAGTAAGCTACTGGGATCCTAAAAATGACCTTGTTGAAAGCAGAATGTTCTATTAACAGTGCTCTTGTCAACAAGGTACAAATGTACTCTCTGGCCATGTTTGTGGTGCGTGATTCTTGCCTGTTGGACTATTCCTTTATGGCAGTTGGCGAATGCCATACTTCGCATTGGACTGCCGAAAATGTGCCGATGTCAAGTGAGTTTTCAGCTCCACTTATTTATTCAGTGGTTGCATTGCGCATGCTTGTCTGATGATAAATTAGGTCAGTCAGTGTGAGGCAGGGATGATATTTGTCGGGAGTTTTCCTGATTTCAGGATTTGTTTTCATCTGGATTTTCCTGATTTCAGAATTTTTCAGACAATCTCTTTTGATTAAAATCTGAAAATCCCCGATTTTACCATTAACATTAAGATGTTTTAACGTATAAAAGTTGATAAAAAACACAAGAAATGGGCATTTTAAGCAAAAATAAATGTGTCGTGATTGTTTCTTTTTTCTCCAATCTCACCTTTGTGCGAGGGCTGGAGTCTATGAAACTAGAAGTCAAATACAAGTATCCTTTTCAACTGGAAAAGTGCAACCAGTTGGTACCCTTACCCTTTGGTGAAAAGCAACCTGCATGATGGGACTGTTGACCAGTACGAATGTATCTAAGGTGTTTGTGAATGTTTTAAAGGGCCCATGCAAAGTTTTTTTTTATTAGTTTTAGTTGTTTTCGTTTTAATGGCGCTCTCAGCTACTCGGGCAATGGCTATACGTTTGTCCATAACCTTTATTAATAAGTATCACATTACGGAGTTAGGAAGAAGGTCCAGATTTAGCGGCAGGAGAAAACCGAAGTACCCGGAGAAAACCCGCGAGAGCGAGTATGGACTTAAAGCCTGGGCCAAGCCGGAAGTCGAACCCGGGCCTCATTGGTGCAAAGCGAGGAGAGAACCGCTACACTAACCCGCTCCCCCTTTATCAGCTTTAATTGGAAATATATCATTTTTAAACGATATCCAAAATGTAAAAGTTGCTGATTTGATTAATAAATGGGAGAAATTTGTTGTAAGTTTTTCGAAACGGCCCCGCCCTCGAGAGGTATCTCATCTACATAGAAAACTTCCGTACGCGCCGCTAGAGCGTGTATGCTGTCTTGGGTCGAGTTAAGTGTGTTTAAGAGATCATGCCGACTAGATGTTTTGCCTCAGGCTGCACCAACACCTATAAAGATGGGACAAGCCTGCGTAACTTTCCAACCAAAGTGGAATTTACGTGAGTTTGGAGATCGGAAGTCGGGCTGACCAGGGCCAAACGGTCGGGACCGACAGAGGCTCCAAACTGTGCAGGGCGCATTTGAGCCACGGTGTTTTCTTCCGAACATGTACGACTCGTTTGGGATGAGATTTAAACGATTGCTGAAACTAGGCGCCACGCCCATGATCTGTGGGAAATAAAGCCCTTGAGCAAAGAAGAAGATGAGCTTCATGAAGTACAAACGACTAAGGGTAGGAAATGCTTCAAATCGGCCTGGGCTTTTCCAATCAATATACTTGTGTACCTAACTATAACTCTGCTGCTATTCTGGGTTCCCAAAATGTACGTCACACATAACGCCATTATTCGTCAGGGTTGAAACATTCACTTGAGCGGTCAGTAAAATTAACCACAACAAATGGAGTTTAATTCCATTCTTATTTCTCTCATCGTGACTTTGTTATTGACATAATAATGGACATTTCAAACAGCCGTTTGTCTACGGAGTTTTTAATGGACCGTTTAACAAATTCTGTTTGTACTTGTGGATGGAAATCGTAAGATGGAATATGTTATGTGAAAGATGGATCCCGGCTCTAAGTTCCTGGTCATCAATAGCAGCCTTGATTTTTGTGATATGTACCATGTGGAAGTTTTCCCCATGAGTACCTGATTATACATGAACCTTGAGAGTTGTCTCAGCTCCTGCGAGTTCATTTTTAAAAGGTTGTTTGAGTTTGTTTTTCTTTGGTTAACCAGTAATTGTCACTTTAATTTGAATGATTGCTCATTACCAACACAAGAAAATTGAAAAAGAATCTACTAGATTTATCAACTGGGTCATCCTGAATGCCCATGGCATCCCCTCTACTGTGTTTGTTTGATGGAAGACTGGAATGTAATAGCCTGGTGTCGGAGATGTCCCGCTTTGACCCACAATATTTTTCATTTAACTTAAGACATATTATTATTGATCTGAGAGACGGAATGGGTGATAATGTCGCCCTTCCGGCCTCCTGGAGCGCCATCCTCTTGGCTTTTTGCTGCTGAGGTGGAAACCAGTTTTTGATTACTGTAGAAAACACAACACCACCTGAACAATATATCCGTTTTTTTTAAGTAAACTTTAACAATAAAAAACATTTGCTCAAAATAAAGGCTCAGTTCGATCGCTTTATTTCTTCAATGATGAAATCACTCTAGGTAACGCAATAATTTGATAGAACACTTTATTCTAAAACACAGGGAGAAGTTTTTATTTACTAGCCTTTTCATTCACTTGACAGGAGCAGTCGACAGCAGCTCCCTTTCAACTATCTCCTGTCTGATCTGGAGTGTGTCATACAAGGGAGTAATCGCTTCAAATATTAAAAAAGATATCTAACTGACTATGTACTTCACAAAATACCCTCTGACAATAATGGATAATTTTCATCAACTAAATAGATACTACTACAACATGAATTTATGCTTCAAAAGACGCTACTATTTACAGTAAAGCAATTGGGTTCCGATGAAGAGGTAGCGTGGTGTATACTTTCGACTTATGCAGAGAGCCCGGTAAAGACAAGGTTTTATTCCAAATGGTTACTGATCTGGATCTAGTTAAACAATGCAAATAAAACGCAAGTAACGAGACCAGCCAATGAAAAGCTGACAGTAGCAGGAGCCCCTGAGGGTTCCGGGAAGCCGTTGTCAGCTACAACTTGGGCGTAGAACCGAGCCGAAGCCTTCTGGGTCCGCGGCCGCTCCGGATCGTTGAAGTCCACGTAGTGCATGCCGAAACGCTCGCTGTAACCGGAGGCCCACTCAAAGTTGTCCATTAGCGACCACGCTGTGTAGCCTTTCACGTTGACCTTGTCCAGCTCGATAGCTGCAGGGAGATACGCAGAACAACAGAGACGGAAAACTCTTATTATGTCATTAAGACTTAGCCAAAATTCCGTTAGTTTTCCTTTGCCTAGGCGCTGGCATAAACATTTATACAAAGCATGGAAACTGTGCTTAACATGACGGTTTACCAGACGAAATTTCATAAAGTACATTGCTTGTGAGTGGTTTTAATTCGCAATTCACAAAGGAGGTTTCCCGGTCGAACAAAACACCTGCCCTGCAAGATGGCTACCACGAAAAGCCTCTATACCGGTACCATTATCTAAGTGGTAAACGGGGTTTTCAGTCTTGGCAGACTGCAATGGGATGGGCGTTCTAACGGAAAAAGCCGGACGCTGATAGATTGAAATCGAGACTCGGAAAAGTGGTTGAAATAGCTGAAAATATGTTTTAAACGCGGACCAGGATCGAGGACCACCTAATAAAAACCTTGTGATCTTTGTCCCAGAGAAACCAACGACCTGAACAGTGTGTGCTTCCCTTATTTCCAACTAATTTGTAATTGACATACTCAAGACAGCACTAGTATAGGTAACGAAATATTTGCTTTTTTATTGAACAAAAACACTTTTACTTTCGATGTCCTCCATTTTGACCTTAGTAACATTTGATTCTTTCTCTTGAACGACCTTGTGTACCTTTCAGAACTTCATTAATATAAGCTTTGTAATAATCGACACGGATCTTGTCGTCCAGCTGGTAAACGTCGTGAGTTGACACGCCATTCTCTGTGATGTAAATTGGAAGCTCTTTTCCGTATTCTTCAGCTATCCAGTTGAGAAGTCGACGTATACCCCAGGGTACGATTTTCAGCCACGCAGACCCTGCCCCGGGCCAGGCAGGATCCCTGTAGATGTAAACGCTCCGATCATTAAGGTAGTTGGCCTGTGAAGGCAGGCTGTCATTGACCGTGTCAGGGGTGGCGTACACGGTGGTGTACTGATTTAGCCCGAAGAAGTCGGCCGTGCCCCTGATGAACTCTTTCTCCTCATCGGTGAAGGGAGGCAGACGAGACTGAGCAAAGCCCTGGGTGGCACTCTTGGTATCGATAGAAGCCTTCATGATCTGCGGGTAGTCGCCGTTCTTAAAGATGGGGTTGGCGAACCAGCCCAGGTTGAATCGCAAGGCCCTGTCGGCCGCGTCTAGGTCACTCTGTCTGGCGCGGTCGGCCGGCTCGAAGAAATCGGAATTAAGAGTAATTCCTATCTTGGCGGTTTGCGTCGCGGCAAACTCACGCTGGAAGGTGTTGTAGGCGGTGGCGTGGGCCAGAATAACGTTCCTTCCTACCGTGTATATCTTGACGGCCGGATCAACGACGTTGCCAGGAGCGAACGTGGTGGTCCCATAACCGAGCAGTGTGAATATCCAGGGCTCGTTGAAGGTTATCCAGAGTGAGACACGATCGCCGAAGTTCTGGAAGCACGCCCTAGCGTAGTCGTTGAAGCGATAAACGATGGTCTCGTTCACCCAGCCTCCCTGGTCCTGCAGCGCCTGTGGTAGGTCCCAGTGGTACAAAGTAACCATAGGCGAGATGTCATTGGCTACGAGCTCGTCAATCAAGGCGTTGTAGTAACGCAGGCCGTCTTCACTGAGACTGGCCGCAGTGCCGTCTGGCATCAGACGCGGCCAGGAGATGGAAAAACGGTAATAGTGTAGACCCATGGCTTTCATCAGAGCCACGTCATCTGTGAATCTAAATGGCACGTAGAGGAGACAAGACAAAATAGAATCAGCGCACAAATAGCAAGCATACACAAGGAACGAGTAACAGTTTGTAAATATCTCGAAACATCCACCGGAAGAGCTCACAGCTGGCATTTTTACAAGGAAAAGTATTTTCAGTCACTTTTTCATTTTATTGAGCACTTTGGTCCCAAGGTTATTTTTGCAGAGTAATTGGCTGAGATTTTGTTATATATGTACCTTGAAAGTATCACTTTAAACTTACTTGTGATAGCTGTCGCAAGCAATATCCCCAGTATCGTCGTTGTAAACGTTGCCCCCTTCGTGAGTGAAGGTATCCCATACACTGGGGCCCTTATCCGACACGTTCCAGGCGCCCTCTATCTGGTAGGACGAGGTGGCCGTACTCCACACGAACCCTTCGGGGAAAGTGCCGTAAAGGAACGTGTCTCGCTGCGAGTCGTTGAACACGTCGGGATACACGAATCCTATCGGATCTTCTGAGGAAGTGACATGGCTGGCCAGGAACATCAAGTGCAAGAGAGAAGCGCAGAGGTGCTCTGAGTGCATTTTTGACTTCTGAATGCGTTAAATATGATGTTAAATTTCGGCTTGTGTATAGTAAAATATAAAGACCTTGGTGGCGGAATGATAGAAGACCTTATGTCTCAAAATGTGCGGTCATGCAGACTACCTTATTGGGGTATCAACTGAAATGCTCGAACCCAGGTGACAATGGCACGTTTACAACAATATATTATCCTATAATGCTGATAATCACATGAACAAATATTTTGTGGAAACACGGCCTGGTAAAGGAGTCAACCTGTACGACGGCCATAAATTTCACAAAGGCTCGAAGAAAGACGTCAGTCAAGACTGGTTTCGTCATTTGAAACGCAAATGACTACTAATAATATGCAATAACTGATAAGTGTAATCGTTCTGCAATTACATGAAATATACACATGCACAAGTACGTCGTCGCTTGGTAGAGGACGTTGTTTTTATATGTATGTAGGCCTAGTTGCTGGTATGATTGAAGAATTTATGGCTACATGCTGAGGTCTTTGGAAAATTTTGCTGAAGGTAATTGTGGGAATGTATCTGAAAAAAAAGCTGGGAAAATGTTGTGTGAAGTTTTAGAAATTTCATCCCAAATCATAAACGTCCCCACAAGGGATAGAAAGTTACTAATTTATAGCCTTATTTATTTTGGGGGGTGGGTAATTATTGCAAACCTCATCCAAACTGAGCCTTACTCTACATCTAAAGTTGATAAGTGTCTAACAAAACTGTGTCAACAAAATCCCATAAATTGTCGGCTGTGATAAGGAACAAACATCAGGAGTAAATGCCTCAAACATGATGTTGGTTACTGGGCAACTAAGCGTTGTAATCTTGATTAAACAGCAACGGTTTTATTGGCTCAAGACATTGTGAAAAATGGGGACGAAATACTATGACAAACTATTGTTATTCATGAATTTATTATTCTTCGGCATGCCTCTTTGTTGGTCGACGAAAGAGGAATTGGGTTCCTGTACGCTCTCCGAACTGGCGTGGAAACACACATTTTCAAAATTTGCTTGGGCGTGTTGTCAGCTCAGAATCTTGACGCAAAATTTGTTCTGCCTCGGCATTGGTTGGGCGCTTTCCCGACTTCAGTTGCGCCTGTATGACGTCAGTTTTCAAACGAGAACCAACGATGGGAGTTGGTTCATAGCGCCGTGTCAAAATGGTGGAAAACAAGCAGACACTAAGCGTGTCCAGAGTTAGTAAATTACCATTAGAAACAGCAAACTAAGATGGGTACTTTTCTTTCGTAACTTGCCAATTAAATATTGGATGAAAGAGAAAGAAACATTTTGTTCAACTGTGTCTTGTGCTACCTTGTACTTTGTCTCTCTCAGTTGACGTAACCGTTTCTGCATTTTTGCCGGCCACATTGTTCTGACGTTAGAAATATGTTTCTGGTTAAAGGGGTCAGGTCAGGATAAATGCTTCAGAAAACAAGAAACAACAAATGAAAGAAACAATGTCGCGACAAATGATACATTTGGACGACTAGGCCTACTACACTTAGAGTCTTATCTATGGGCACAACGACGCTAGGCGGGCTGACTTGCGGGAGGGATGAGACACACATTGAGTACAAACTCACACGATGTAATTTTCATGTAAAGACTAAAGCTGTCAAAACTGAAAATGCAGAGAGAGACATCAATTCGTTCAACAAAATACTTTGGTATTTTCGCATAGGCCCCCAAGTTTTCATAGCCTGGGCACGGCGCCTATGTAGTGTACCTCTTGAATAATCCAGACCCAACAACCCTTCATATTTTGTTGTTTTTTTTTTCTACTCAACCCGCTGAGGATACACTATGTATTTTCCTCCGGGTAATGGTTTCATTTCCCGTCTTGACAGGAGACTAGTTTCCACGGCTCTATGAAGCTTCCACAGTCGAAATGTCGCAGTTTACTTTCCTTTGAAAAAAATCCCCCCCCCCCGAGCTACGAGTTCAGTCGTGGTTATTCGAGTGAGTTACCCTAGCGTTTTGTGTTACTAAAAAAACAACAACAAACAAACCCGCACACAGTGCGACCACTCTGCACACCCTGGGCAATATTACCGTTCTCAATTAGCCATTTGGGAGTTACATTTGGACACCGAGCTCTTTAAATTCACGTTAACATAACAATTTGAATACTCCATATACTATAAAGCCACTGTTGCTATACCACGTGATTCGGGTCAAGCTTTTGCTTAGTTACACAAGAGACGCCTTGCACAAAACTATACACTGTTTTCAATGGATAAGAAGGGCACAAAGGAACCAGTCCATTGCAGAGATGGCAGTCGCTATGCAAAAGCTTGCCCCGAATCACGGGGCATCGCAACAGTGTCTTTAGTCTGGAGAAATCAAATTGTTATGTTTATGTGCAATAAGATAACACAGTGAACAAGATTTTATTCAAATTTATCCCGCATTTAGAAGTAGCAGCGAGACGGACACTGTCTCGGGAACAGGGTTTTCTGTGGGCAGTAATCCTATGATCAGCACCGACAACCCAATTCACACATTTTATAATGGGAATTGGAGCATCGAAGTAGCTTGAAACAAGCATTCTTCCCGTGAACGGGAAAGCATGGATAATTTTGATTGTTGAAAAGTGTGCTTTTTTCAATGCATTTAACCAAAGAGTGTAAGAGTTTTCATACATTGAAGAAAAGTACAAAGATGCATAAAAATTGTGTAGAAGAAAAATTCATCGCAGCCACACTTTTATGCGGATTGCGAAGAATTTTCAGATTTCCAACGACTAAAATACATTCAATATCACTCAACAATGTAAAAAAATAAATGTTAAAAGGCTTTAAATATGCCATTCTAAATACATATTACAGATGTACATCAATATCAGGAACATCGACTTCTACATGGTTTTATTCCTCCACCCCGCTTTTCAAATTTTCATGGCCAGGTACGGCCCTACCCTTTCCCAATCTCCCTAATTTCAGGCACAAATTTATACCACTGATGCCGTGGAAACTGTCAACTAAACTTGATAATAAAATCTCCAGATCTAGGCCTATACAATTTTTTTCACAAACCTTTCAAAACTTCATTGATGTAAGACTTGTAGTAGTCGACGCGGATGGTGTCCTCCAGTTCGAAGACATCTTTCGTAGATACCCCGTTCTCTGTGACATAGATGGGTAAATCGCTACCATACTCGTCAGAGATCCACTTCAGTAAGCGACGGATTCCCCAGGGCACGATCTGGAGCCAGCTAGAGCCTGAAGGGGGCCAGTTGGAGTCCTTCCAGGACCAGATGTTTTGATCGTTCCAGTAGCTCGCTTGAGAAGGCAGCCTATCGTTCTCGTCTGGTGTGGCGTTGGTGGCGTATGTCGTGGTGTAGTGGTTGAGCCCGATGAAGTCGCCCGTACCTTTGACGAAGGCTTTTTGATCGGCCGTGAACTCGGGCAGGCGCGACTGGTTGAAGCCTTGGTAGGCGCTCTTCCGCGCGATGTTGGTCTTCATGATGTCGGGGTAGTCACCGTCGATGTAGATTGGGTGGGCAAACCAGCCAAAATTGAATTGCAGAGTGGTGTCCGCCGCTTCGATGTCTGCGGGCTTACTGCGGTCTGCCGGCTCGATAAAGTCTGTGTTTAGGGTGATACCTACTTGTCCATTTTGTGTATCCTTAAATTCTGTGCGGTAGGTGTGATAGGCGTGGGCATGGGACAGGATGAGGTGATGGGTCACCGTGTATACCAAGATAGCTGGTTCGGCAATACCAGGTGCGAACGCCCCGCTACCGTGGCCTAACAAGGACACGATCCAGGGCTCGTTGAAGGTGATCCACAGCTTCACACGATCGCCAAAGTTCTGGAAGCACGCCCTAGCGTAGTCGTTGAAGCGATCAACGATGGTCTCATTCCCCCAGCCTCCCTGGTCCTGCAGCGCCTGTGGTAGGTCCCAGTGGTACAAAGTAACCATAGGCGAGATGTCGTTGGCTACGAGCTCGTCAATCAAGGCGTTGTAGTAACGCACGCCGTCTGCACTGAGACTGGCCGCAGTGCCGTCTGGCATCAGACGCGGCCAGGAGATGGAAAAACGGTAATAGTGTAGACCCATGGCTTTCATCAGAGCCACGTCGTCCTCGTACCTGCAAGGAAGTGAAGGCACGGTAAAAGAGGTAAAGCCTCTTATGTAATGATGCTTTGATGGTCATTTTCTCTGCTGCAGTAGTCCATGCTAACAGTCAGAGAACACAGTTTTTTATCATTATGTCTGCAGAAATGTGGCCACAGACATTGTGTACGAATGTGGAAATCACCAGCACCCGAAAAGAACTGTTTAGTTGAGCGCGTGTTTACTATCTAGGAGTTAATCAGTGGTGTTTGGTCCATAAGAGCGATTGCAGCTTACTTCATTATATTTTTTTCATCCACTGCATGGAATTCGTGAAATCAGCAAGACGTGACAAATTTCACAAAGGCAAATGTTCATTCACCAGTGTTCTTCTCAGGAATGCCCTTTTCATCGGTGGCTTTTGCGAGTTTCACGGAGATGAAATAAACAAGCATGTTGTTCTTGCATCAGTTGTCAAGCATGAGCGTCATCACTCAAAATTGTTTGTTACCAAAAAAATTGGGAATTATTCTTCTCTATGAAAGAAACAGAATTGACACTATACAGTTTTAATGCTATTCCACTTTGATGAAGGTAAAACAGTGAAAAAATCAGCAATGAAACTAATAAAAGCATAAGGAATATATGTGAAGCTGGAAAATTACCCTTCACGGGATGCCTGGAAAAAGGTGATTTTTTCAGGGCCAAATAAATGAACAAAGAGTAAATATGCCATGACCATATTTACTGACATAAACCCGATTTCTTACTTGTGGTAACTGTCGCATGCAACATCTCCATTGTCGTTGTTGTAGACATGCCCGCCTTCGTGAGTGAAGGTGTCCCAGATACCAACGCCTTTATCGGAGACGTTCCAGGCGCCTTCGATCTGGTAGGACGAGGTAGCGCTGCTCCAGACGAAACCCTCGGGGAAGGTGCCATAGTGGAACGTGTCCCTCTCGGGGTCGTTGAAAATGTCCGGGTAGACAAACTCGATCCTTTCCTCTGCTACGGCTGAATTCATCAGGACAACAGCCAGTAAACAGAGGAGAGAAGAGGCTGACCTGGTCCCCATCATGAGAATCGTCTGTCGTTCAAATCTAGGGCTGTAAAAACTGAATACTCACAGTCCGTTCTCTGGACATGCAAGTTTTTACTACTTTCCGAGCAACGAAAGGCTCGATATATTTGGTGGACTTTCAAAATATTGTCGTCATCACCAGAGCTCTCATGTCACCTGGAAAAGCACGTGACTATTACCTCTTAAGGTCATCTGATCATGAAATTGTATCGTGATCTTTAATGCGATCATAGATTGGCGTAATCCGAGATCTGTCTAAAACAAACACAAACCTTTTGCATGTAGTTACACGTGCCTCTCACTTGAAGAGGTAAGCTTTGATTTGCCTATAAAGAGGGGTTGTTTGAAACGACTGGTGCCAAGATTAGATATGCTGATCTGGAAAAGTATTGCTTTAAAGCAAATATGGCCAGCTCAAAGTCCTCCCTAGGTTGTAAACATTACACAATGAGGTCAAAAGGCAAAGTTTACGTAAGTCTTTTTCAGCCAACGATCAGCTCTTTTTTAGGTGCAAGTTTGTGACCTCATGAACTGTCTTGATGTTGAAAGTGCGAAAGGTGGAAAGTGGTGGTGGACATCTCCTTGCATCTTAAATTAGTGAAGCAATTTGTGAGAGAAACTTTATCTATGCATACTTTCAATACACTCATATACACTTCACTTCCAGTTGCAGTTGTTTCAGTGAATCTATCAACTTCACCGTAATACAGCTTGAACAGTGGGTCTTGTGCTTATTTTACCCGTTTATCGTGTTTACTTCTTGGAGAGATTTGTCAAATCGACAGGAGGATGTTACAATTGACGTTTGTTGTTCAGTGCACGAATCTGTTAGAATAAAAAAACACGGGAATATATCATTTTCTCAAGGGTGGACGTCTACGCTCATCGCCTACATAATATTCATGGGAAGCCATTTTCGATCGTGTTCTCCTAGTTTATCGTATTCAGCATTGTGCTAAATGGGGTTGTGCCAGACTATTTCTGATTCCAAGCCTTACTTTCAGTTCTTGAAATGTTGCCTAAAAGTGTAGATATAATTTATCATATTTTTTAATTCTTAGAAAAGTAAATTAGCATGAGTTTGTATTGGATTGTCATTTCGTTTTGTTATTTTAACTCCAGGGTTTCGAATACAAAAAGTTGACCTTACTTTCAGTTCAAGATGACTGACACACAAAAACAGTCTGTTACCATTTAGTCAATTAAAGCCCCCCCCCCGAAAAAACTAAACGCTGCACGATCTGCATCGACTCTACAGCTACTGAATTGCAGCACACTCCGTGGAAAAAGACTACAATATTAAGGTCAGGGCAGACTGGAACTTTATCATTTTCATGACGTTCATTATAACCTCAAAATATCCAATGCGGGCGTTTCACAAGAGTGCGCCTCCAAGAGTTTGCAACGTGTTTGCGCATTCGAAATGGGTTGAAAGATTTCGCGCCTTGTGATTGGTGAATCGCCCGTATTGCGCATCTTGAGGTGGGCCTATCGGCTCGACAGCCAACGGGATATGTTTATTTTTTTCAGAAAATCTCCATAGTACTACGTCAATAACAGATGTGCTACTTTAACGACATTATCATGACTTGTATACGAATCAGTTTCGTGCAACTTTGCTCGAAAAGCATGTATTCTTGCATTCTTTACAAATGATACGAAAAGTTAACCAAAACGTTTTTAAGTGATCTGTAGAAGGATTGTCGCCGCATTGGTGTTTGTAATCTTTACGCCAAACAAAGCTTTGCTCGCATCAGTTCCCACTTTATACCCTGGGAATACCCTTCGTTTACCCGGTGGGGCTGTTTGGTAACATGTGTACAATCATAAATGGTATAAGGCTTGAAAACGACCGCCTGTTGATATCTTTATCATAATGCAAAATTGACCAAGGGTCAAGTTGTATAACAGTGTTATGTCAACAGACAAATTCGCGGCTTATTTGACTAGAAGGGTGGTGTTTTCCTCTTAGAAATCTACAGGTTCATATGAGCTGTAATTGGGAAAAAGGCATTCAAAGGAAAACCGCAAGTATTTCTTTACAATGGAAACAGACATCATACACAATTGTCAGCGATCAAATTTTGCCTTTTTTTTTCATTATTTCACTGATGTCTACATCACTGCGCTCCCTGGTACCGTACGTTCACCCTTAGCCAACGATAATCTGAACTCTTTCCAATGTTCCCAGTCTATCCATAAGCAAATTTTCCATCGTTAAGCGATTCCTTCAGTGCATGTACTTACTTCAAGATTCCCTGGACAAAACATAGCCACTGAACGACTTGGTAGCAAGCCTAGCTTGGCGCGTGGGCAAATGGGTCGGCCAAAATATCACTCTTTTTTTTATTCTTTTACAGATTTGGGAGTGAATTACTTCATTGACACCCTCCCCGTAGCATGGTTGAAATAAGTAAATTGTCCATTTCAGGATTAAACGCCCCGTTGATTCGATTATGCAGACTTTAATGCCCTCCATGCATGCATTTTGTTCGCCTGTGAGAGCAGTTTTAAACAAAATTAGATGACCCCTTTACACAGACGCTAGCCATACATACGAACACCAACGACACCAAAGCGACATCTTAAAACAGCACGCTGTCAAGCTGACCTAGGATATTTTGATCTAAAGTGGGTGTGAAAATGGTCCTCGCCAGGATTTTGTTTTGAGATGAGCAGGTAACAAACCCAGTGAATAATTGAAAGGGGACGGGGCTAGACACCATTTCAGCTGTTCGGCATTGGGAGCTGTCCAGAAACCCGTCTATGCATATGGCAGGTGTGTTTTAGGTTCCTGTGCGATGGTTCTTATTGTCGAAATAAGTTAAATGTAACAGTTTATCATTGGCTCTCACTCTCTCCTCTTTTTACCTCTGCTTCTCTCTTTTCTTGACCCCTGGGGTGCAAGTGTTTTACTTGACCTTGTGTGACACGCATGCATAGATATAAACAGCCTGGAATCCTAAACCTGAGGTCATTTTTTTCCCCAGATATACCCTGAATAATGATACCTCGTGAGGTGCTCCACCAAAACGAGAGAAAAACACACAAAAACTTCTTTAGGTACTTCTGTCGACGTTAACTGTAAACGTATACTTATATTAAGCGAACGTTTTGGAAAGAGTGTCGGTAATTTGGAATAATTGAATGAACACTTTTTTGGCAGTATCTGCTAAACGATGATATGTTGAAGGTAGTAATTAGTTCGCTGTGCTAGTTTGAAATCCGTAATCTAATGCAACTTGTTCGGTAAATTCAGAAATAAAATTACAGCGATTTTGCCGAAACTAAATTGACTGATAATTATGATAATACAGTATCGTCGTATAGTAAAAGCAGTACATATTGGCCTATTATATGTCATTTCACTCTTGGTTCCACTGTGTTGCCCCAACTGATCTTGGAGGAATCTGCAAAACACAAGACTTCATTCAGCAACACATGTCCGCTTGCACAATGGCCGATCTCTATGTAAATGTTTGCTAAACAAAAACGTTCAGTCGATGTCCCGGTTTTGTAACTGAAACAGATAGCCGATCGGGCTCAAACCTCATGGGTACACGACAGGCTACGCGTGACGGATGAAGATAAATGATTGGATTATTTAAAATCCTATTTAAATAGCAAGAGTGAAAAAAAACTAATTGTGAAGGTTGATTTTGTTTCAAACCATTCGGTAAGGCAAATAGTCGGCAACATGTGTGACGTCATGATGAGGCCTTCAAAGTGCGATTCGGTTTGGCTAGACCCCGATATTGTAAATGGTTAGTTTAGGAACACGAATGCCAAACAAGTCAAAAGTCCAACTATTGACGAGATGGTTACGTGTGGAGCCCCTGAGGGTTCCGGGAAGCCGTTGTCGGCCGCCACTTGAGCGTAGAACCGAGCCGAAGCCTTCTGGGTCCGCGGCCGCTCCGGATCGTTGAAGTCCACGTAGTGCATGCCGAAACGCTCGCTGTAACCCGAGGCCCACTCAAAGTTGTCCATTAGCGACCACGCTGTGTAACTTTTCACGTTGACCTTGTCCAGCTCGATAGCTGTAGGAAGACAAATAGCAATGTCTTGTGTCAATGACAAAATAAGGCAGTGCTTTATATATAAATACACAAATATTTGGACCGATTTCCATAGCGATTCTGAGTAAATAGATCTACAGGGGTGCAGATCACCTTCAGGTTAACAGCCAAAAATTCGTGGAATGAACACTACTTCAAGCAGAACAGGAAAAATTAGCAAAAGTCAATTTCACTTTGTCTTCAATCTTCCTGTTGCCGATTTTTATAAGGTGCTTTATTTTGGGCAGGGGCATACCCTGTTGAGGATGGAGAAGATACACCCCGCCCCACTTTTATTATCAAGGGGATGGGCCGTTTAATCATCCTACTAATCTGTGTTGGTTCAAGATGTTATTGTGGATCTTGATGTTATTCTGAACTTTCAGTTCTAACATGATGCAGGTAATTTGCATTCTGAACGTTACATATAAGGGCCAAGGATCTCTGTTGGAGAGTGAAGTGACAAGTTAAAAAGCATTATGGGGCAAAAGCAAATCCGATGTAAGACAAAATATTTAACCCTTGCAATGCCTGTATGGGTGTTTCAGCATCAGGGAACATTAGGTAATTACCACAGGGTCAATTACACTGATAAACCATTCAACTCAAAATCTGTATTTAAATATTTTTCATTCATAAACCTTTAAGAACTTCGTTGATGTAAGATTTGTAGAAGTTGACCCGGATGGTGTCCTCCAGTTCATAGACATCCTTCGTGGATACCCCGTTCTCTGTGATGTAGATAGGTTTGTCGCTACCGTACTCGTCAGAAATCCACTTCAGTAGGCGGCGGACTCCCCAAGGAACAATCTTCAACCAGCTGGATCCAGAGGCAGGCCACTTGGTGTCCTTCCATGAACGGACGTTCATGTCGTTCCAGTAGCTCGCCTTGGATGCCTGGCTGTCGTCGGGGGTGTCACTGGTGGCGTAGTACGAGGTGTAATGGTTGAGTCCGATGAAGTCACCAGTGTCCTTAATGAAGGCCTTCTGTTCGGTTGTAAACTCAGGCAGGCGCGACTTGCTGAAGCCCTGGTAGGCGCTCTTCTGTGCGATGTTGGTCTTCATGATCTCAGGATAGTCTCCATTTTTATAGATCGGGTGGGCGAACCAGCCGAAGTGAAACTTGAGCGAGGTGTCAGCCGCCTCGATGTCCGCGGGCTTGCTGCGGTCTGCCGGTTCTGCATAGTCGGAATTGAGAGTGATTCCCACTTGCCCATTCTGCGTAGCCTTGAATTCTGTGCTGTAGGTGTGATAGGCGTGGGCATGAGAGAGGATAAGGTAATGGGTTGTCGTGTATACCTTACTTGCCGGCTCAGCAATGCCTGGTGCAAACACACCATTGCCGTAACCGTGCACAGATACGATCCAGGGTTCGTTGAAAGTGATCCACAGCTTCACACGATCACCGAAGTTCTGGAAGCACGCCCTAGCGTAGTCGTTGAAGCGGTCAACAATGGTCTCATTCTCCCAGCCTCCCTGGTCCTGCAGCGCCTGTGGTAGGTCCCAATGGTACAAGGTGACCATGGGTGTAATGTCACTGGCTATGAGTTCGTTAATCAAGGCATTGTAGTAACGCACGCCGTCTGCACTGAGACTGGCCGCAGTGCCGTCTGGCATCAGACGCGGCCAGGAGATGGAGAAACGGTAATAGTGTAGACCCATGGCTTTCATTAAAGCCACGTCTTCCTTGTACCTGTAAAGAGGAAAAGGAACAAAGCAAACCAAAATGTTATTTAGCGATGTTGCCTCAAAGGTCATTGTCTCCACTACTTTTCTTCTGTATGGAAACATTTTAATTTGTAATCGCCATTTTGTGCATATATCTTAAAAACGAGAACAAAGACATTCGCAGATTAGAAATAGGCCAAAATTGTATAATTTATACAGTGGCATCTTGAAACGGCGTTTCTTAGAGAGTTAAACGTGAAGAACCAGGCCTCTCAAGACCTTCATCCGGCAACAAGTGTACTTGTACCGCTTCGATGTTAAATCACCATGCTTTTAAGAGGGCTGTTTAAGAGGGCTGTTGTCAGCAGGAGGCTTAGGTCTACTTCTCTTACTACACTTTCCTCGAAGCAGCGTTCAGTCAGTTATCAACGGGTTTCTTCCCTTTCATTTCTCCAAGTTCAACCAACTGATCAAGACTTGTTTCATCGTCCCACGACAGAGTAGGATTGAGTAGGATATACGAGGTCCAAGAAGAGTATTAAAAATCGTCCTTTATATAAAATCTGGTCATTTTCAAGGAAACGTTAAAGATATTATATTAGTTAACGAGATATAAACGATATTTGGGATATTGTCAGTTATTTTCTCCTTGGGGTCACTTTTTGAAATGGCAATTTTAATTGCAAAATGAAATACTGCATCTTACTTGTGGTAGCTATCGCATGCAACATCTCCGGTGTCGTTGTTGAAGACTTTTCCTCCTTGGTGGGTGAAGGTGTCCCAGATGCCGACGCCTTTATCTGCGACGTTCCAGGCGCCTTCGATCTGGTAGGACGAGGTTGCACTGCTCCAGACGAAACCCTTCGGGAAGGTGCCATAGAGGAACGTGTCCCTCTCGGGGTCGTTGAAAACATCCGGGTAGACAAACTCGATTTTCTCTTCTGCTTTTGCCGAGCCCAACATTACAATAGCCAACACACACGAGAGTGCTGTCGACCGTGCCACCACCTTGAACATTATTCTCAAGGTGCCCACGAGTTTTCAATTCACTTCAAATCTTACAGGTGGCAAAAGTGGACAGATTTGCTACGGCTTCAAAACTTTGACTTTGAACAAGCAGCTTTGCTGCTGAAAATGAACTGCTATTTTAGCGTGGTTCTAAAAATATCACATTGTGACAACTTCAGATCAGCCAATAAGAATTTGCATCGTAATATTGTACAACATAAGTGCAGCAAGTCAAATTCAGACCAAGCGTTGTGAACCTTTAAGATGAACTTCGGCTTGTGTGACTGTTTTGGCAAATTTAGGGTAAGATAAGATACATGTATGTTGATAACAGAAAATTACAACTCTTAAGCCCCTATGCGTGTTTGATTAGACCAAAGTTCTCATCGGGTTACAAACATTACACAACGAGATCAAAATATAATATCATCATTGAACCGAAGGAAAGGTTTTTGTGGCACACATAATGCTATGAAATATTTTAGCTGACGGTCTGTTTTGACGGAGGGTGTTGATAAGAACTTTTCAATAATTTTTATTTCAATTGGAATATAATAAAAAATTGAGAAAGCACCAATATAGACGCCTGTCTTTCCTATCCTTTTCCATTGTACTTAATGTCGACATAGGGGTGTCGAACACTTTGTGTGTTCATTAGAATCTGGGGAATCCTGTCGTCCAGTGATGGGATATCGTCCTTCCTCTTCAGCTACACGTTGCAACCTCGTCCACCAGTTAACAATAACATTTCTAGTATGAACACTGTGTGCTTACAGCTCAAGTGAAAAACTTGACTGCCATGAAGTGTAGCTGTGTTAACCACGCGATATACCATCGTGCTTGCCAAATCAGGGTCTCGGTCGTCGTTCCATATCAGAGTGGAACGTACAACCAGAGCCAAACTAAAGTACACAAGGCAATGCTTGGAACCTGGGATCACTGACGAATACTTTTAAATTCTGAGAACCAACTTATGCAGATAGTTTTGTTGAACATCCATGTATATCTTAAATCTGTGGACTTTTGAAAAATGCATCAGTACCTGTTGATATCATAAAGGAATATCACTCAAAAGCCACTGGCTGCGCTGTGAGGCGTAATCTCTAAACCAAACAAGAGTTTAGCTTGCAGCGTTGTATCAAGTACCTTGGGCCAACCCACCCCATGAGTAGGTGTGCGTGATCAGTTTTATGAGTTTACAGTCACCGCAGTTTTGAAGTTTATCTTGATGTTAAAAATCACACTGAAAAACACACGACGGCAAGTCGCATCTTCACACTGTTTTTATCGTTGGCTTAGTTTTGCATTAGGGTTGTTTTTGAACTCGTGTCAAAACTTTCTCCGAATATAAATCAATTATTGACGATAAGTTCTCTTTTTGACAGATTTAGTTAAGCAACCATGATTGCACTTGTAATCTTAATTTGCTCTTTAACCTACTGCTGGTCACCCGTTCATGTCGGTGCTCAGTTTGCCTACCCGGACGTCTTCAATGACCCCGATCGAGATTCGCCAATTTATGGCAAGTTTCCGGAGGGGTTCGCCTGGGGATCTGCCACCTCTGCATACCAGGTGGAAGGCGGCTGGAATGCGGACGGCAAAGGCAAAAGCATCTGGGACACCTTCGCACAGAGCGGTCGATGCGCTTATGGACAGACGGGCAACGTGGCCTGCGACAGCTACAACAAATACGCCGAGGATGTCCAGCTTGCCAAGGCTATAGGCCTGACACACTACCGCTTCTCGATCTCCTGGCCTCGTGTCATGCCGGACGGCACCCGTGCTAGTCTCAACGAACCCGGCTTAGCCCACTACGAATCCTTGGTCGATGAGCTGCTCAAGGAAGGCATAGAGCCCGTGGTAACACTTTACCATTGGGACTTACCGCAGGCTCTTCAGGACAACTACGGTGGCTGGGAGAACGACTCGCTCGTGCCTCTCTTCAACGACTATGCCGACGTATGCTTCGAGCGCCTGGGCGCCAAAGTAAAGCTCTGGATCACTTTCAACGAGCCCTACGTGGTCACTTGGCTGGGTTACGGTATCAACGTCTTCGCTCCAGGCATCTACGACCCGGGCTATGCACCCTATCGCGCAGCACACACAATCATCAAATCACACGCTGCGGCATACAATACTTACAAACAGAAATACAAGCCTCAGTACAACGGACAAGTCTCGATTACGTTGAGTACCGATTTCGGCCTGCCTAAAGATGAGAACAATCCAGCTCATGTAGCCGCGGCAGACCGATATATGCAGTTCACAGCAGGCTGGTAAGTTAACAAGACGTCGTCAATAACATCTATTGGATAACAATTAACATTTATAATATCCAAATCACAAAAAATCCGTAACCTCCAATCAGAGGCATTAATGTTTATAAAGTTCCAATTGCAAAGCAAAACCATTAAATACTGGGTTTTGAAATGTTTTATCTTTTGCTTTGGCCAGAGTGACTCGATTAGTGATTCCATACTTCGGATCACGCGTTTGAATGGAGTTGATCCCAACGGGTAACTGGCTTGACGCGACTCAGATCACTGCGAGCAAAATAACAGAACTCTGGTCGAACCACAAACTTGGTGACTCGTTACAAAATGGTTTTAACTTTACTCAGTTTAGTACAGTTGACATTTTTTAATCTCTATACTATTGATAGAAAATAATTTTGCCAAGACAATTGGTAGTTCTACTCAATATATATAAATGGATTAGGATATTGGTTAATTCGTTTTGATGATTCTTTTTCTCCTGCAAAAGGTTTGCTCATCCCATCTTAAAGAACGGGGACTACCCGGACGCAATGAAATGGCAAGTTGGCAACAAGAGCATCGCCCAGGGTCTGAACGAGAGCCGGCTACCGGTGTTCACCGAGGAAGAGAAGCTTTCTATCGCCGGCACCGGGGACTTCTTCGGACTCAACGCCTACACTACCACCGTGTGCAGCGACAATTTCCGGCCTACGGATCCCAACTACGAGGACGATCAGGTACTGCACTGTGTCATCATTTTGTCTGTATTCCAGCAACTTGCAGCTAGCATGTGCTTCGTATCTCTCTTCAAATTTGGTACAAAATGTCAACAGGGCACAGGTTAAAATTGAGTCACACCAAAGAGATTTCCAAGGCTATTCCGGTGCATGTAGTTCCTTAATAATAATTTATCCGTGAAACAGTGGGATTTTTTTTTTAACTATCGCCTAGTTGTATTAAAATTCTATTCCATCTGCTTAAAATTCCATTTATGTTTTTCATTGTACAGTTAATATGCATGGTGAAAAATCCCTCCCCCCAAAGTTGTATTCCCAAATTTGTTTATGCCTGTTAGGAATCATGGGCTGGCCTATTGGCCAGTGGGTAAAACTGTCGAACTATGAAACGCGTAGAATATAATAAGAAGGGTATTTATTACTGTCAAGCTTTACTATACTAGCCTGGAAAGAAGTAGTGGATTTGTGTTGGACCAGGAAGTCTTTGAGAGTGAATTTTATGAAGAATTTCGAGAGGATTTCAAGCTCTTCATTTTGATTTTTTTTTGGTCCGTCAGATTTGTAAATGTTGACAAGATTTAAGTGCAATCAATCAACCACTACCTTTTCTATGCATTAAAAATTTAATATTTCCCATATTTCCCAAAATTTTCATCCTGAATCAACACACAGTTGAGACACCTTCATGTCAACTTTCCGTCAGACAACTGCACTGTGCTAAGTTTACCCTATCCTTTTCCTTCCTATTTACCTCATCGATTAGGACGTGGAGCGCTATCAGCCCGATAACTGGCCCACGTCCGGCAGCGACTGGCTTCGCCCTGTGCCTTGGGGCATGCGTAGACTGTTAAACTGGGTTGATAAGGAGTACGGTAAACCCATCTACATCACCGAAAATGGAGTCTCTACTGCCGATGTGGCCGAGCTAAATGATGAGACCAGAGTTACCTTCTACAAGGCTTACATCAATGAGGTTTTAAAAGGTAAGGTTGCATCATACCCATCGATTAATGGACATATCAAAATAAACGATTTTCCCACGTAAGGGGGAGCAGTGTACCGTCAGCAGTGACGTTGCAGAAATAGCCGTACAATTATCATAAAAGGTACATAATGGAACAGCTAAACTGTCTTCTGGACTGAAGGATTCCATTTTTTTTCAACGTCGCTATTCACATGACCGGGTTTCCCACTTTTAATTCTTTTGGTGAGCGCACTTTGACATCATGATAAGAAACTTACATATTCAACATCACGGAGAGATATTTGATTTTCCATAGCCCGATTTGTATTTCTTTCTGCTCCCTATATAATAATCGACGCCGAATTCAATAGTTGGCATATTTTGTTTGAAAAGCTACGAGCATTTCATATTTATCCCAAATCCCAGGATTTGTGAAATCCAGCTCTGTAGCCCGAACCTATGTACACTGTCAAAAGTATTCAACACCGCATCACGATTTTGTTTTGCTCCACCTAACCTCATTTTATACCCTAGCATCGAAACTCGACGGAGTGGACGTCCGCGGCTACTTCGCCTGGTCTCTCATGGACAACTTCGAGTGGACATCGGGATACACGCAGCGCTTCGGCCTCCACTACGTGGACTTCGAAGACCCGGAACGGCCGCGGACACCTAAGGAGTCGGCCAATTTCTACAAGAGTTTGATCGCTTACAACGGCTTCGAGGAGAAGAGCGGGGCTGGAACGATCTCGTTATCTTATCTTGCCCTCCTAGCCTCGTTAGTCTTCTGTTTTCTCAATTGATTAGGGATTTTGTCCGAATCACTAATAACCAAGAGCATTGACAAGGAAAATGCAACTCTACTGACTAATCCGATTATACTAGTTTTACGAATGCGAGTGAAACACAGAAAAAAAATGTAGTACGTCTGTGTCCCTATTCGCCCCGAGCTGAAGTGCACCCCCAATCGGCGAAAGAAAGACAGCTGGTTACAAGCGGGTCCTTGCATGCGTTCTGCGCGTACGCAAAGACTATACATGCCCTGCATCAAACGCGCATAGACTTGCGCGCCTCATGGCGCGTCTATGCGATGAGTACCTAAAAAAGCACGCCCTCTTTTGTTCCGCCCGGAGTGGCTACCACGAGGCCAAACATACACGACACAGACGCACTACATTGTTCCTTGTTCCACGAGCGCGAACATGATAACGAATTCATTTTCAAGCAAACTTGACGCGCAGTAAAGATATTATAGGGCTTACAGTGCGTGCAAATGCCCTACCTTTGAATTTAAAGTACTTCTTGCAGTTGTGCGTTTTGCTTTCATAGTAAAAAAAGCAAAATGCGTTGAGTTAGTACAGCGCTTTACGCGCGGTTTGATCTGAACCGTGCAATGCAGTTATATATATCACACTGTTTGTTGCCATGCATCGACCAATCTGAATTTAGGATTCAAGTTTGCCTGAAGATAAGATGCCATACCTGCATGCAGTGGCAACGCCCTCACACGCACATTCTTGAACTTGACGCGCGCGTGCATTTGGCAGATCCCCACACTCTATTGGTCAAAGAGGCATGTAACGCGCGCGTACCAACTGACCACGAGCGCTGCGCCACTGCAGTAATGGCTTATAGTTCTGGTTGTCGAATTACTATATAGGTATAACGACAACTGCGAAACGACTCGCACATGCACTGAAGAGGTGGTTATTTGAGCCAAGATTTCCACACAGAATAAAATTATAGGTTCAAGCAACAACCAAATCCGAAAACTCGATACTGGAAATCTGTTAAATAAATTGCTCAAACTATGAAGACGAATAATTACCAACCATTACAAATCAGGATTTGCAAATAGGCTACATACTTTTGAAGCTTTCATTTATCAGCTGCAAGACTGTACGTGTAAATACAGAAAAAAAGTAAAATTTATATTTCTGGTCGAGTTAACTGACGTAACACACTTTGAAGGGAAAACGTAATCAAATAGCTTTTTGCGTTAGAATTATAAATTTTGTTTGACGGGTTGCAGTGTACAGACCAGATACAATAATAAATCATGATTTTACGATCAGAAGACGTTGGTAATGACATTAGTTGCAATCTAAAATTGTCTGGCGTTGCTGGGCAGCAGACAATGTGCAATTGACGATTCTTGCTTTGTTCACGATCCCTCCACCCCACCCCTTAAAAAATAACGAAGCGACATTGCAAATGAAATCAGACACACACACAAATCTGCCGATTTTTGAGGCCACTCTAGTCCTTGATATTGTGTATATGTAAACCTGCGCTTGCACGCGCCATTAACCTATGTAACGTTACTTGCAAGCAAGCAAAACCCAATGTTCAAGGTTACCAGTATGTTGCATTTTGGAGAGCTCTGTGCGGCCGCCTGCGCGAGACCATTCACGTTAACAGCATTCTAAAGGTAAGATGACACAGGTATGGGGTAAGTGGGTTTGTGCCTTTCCAGTGGGAAGAATGTGCGTGTATCCCGAAGCGAGGCACTCTGTCGTCATTGCTTCTATCCCGCTCTGAAGACGACGTATGGTGTACGGTTACGCATCACCACAAAGAGAAGGGATCCGGCAAACAAGCGCAGGGGCACACACTCCCCACACTATCTTGAAAGTATTACTCGACATAGCCACGTTCAGTTGATTCAGAAATGGTCCCCTTTTGTCACAAGACCAGTTACGAGATCATTCATAAGACCAGCCGCAAGTAACAGCAAAAGCAATGACGAAGACATCATTGTTAGAGCTTGTATGAATAATCCAGGACTTGAATTCAGACTGGAGGTTTGTGACAGTCTTGGGATTGTCTTGTAAATGTTTTATGAAGTTTTGACTATTTCAAAAATGACTGTTAAATACAACTGTCGAATTATAACAAGTGAATATTTGTAAAGCATTAAAGGATAAAATCAATCAATTTGAGAAGTACAGGTTTGATGCACGTACTTTTTTATTTGAATGAAGTACTCTGGCTGATGGAGTTAACTGCTTGCCCTAAGTAAGTAAAATTAAAACATGAGGACGTAATACGGTATGTCTCAAGTCGACATTTCATTCCATCAATCCAGCCACAGCAGTGAAATGGTGCAATGCACGGATTTTGACGTTCAGCTTAAAATGTGCCACATATAAGGTATGCATTAAGGACTTCATTAGCTTATCACCAAAGATTCAAGCACTGTTTGAATAATGAATTTATGAGCTTCTACATGATTGTGTTATGATTTAAAATTTAGTCAATGTATGCGCATGCACACTGAGACAACATAAACAGAAGAAAAGATTACATATACTGGGCTTACCTATAGAAAATTTCGAAACATTCAAAATAAAATCAATGCTAGCTGTGTTTTACTCCAGTCTTGGCCTTCAGCCAAATTCCAGCTAGAAAGAAACCCAGTCCAATTACACTCATGACAGGCGAGAAAGGCCAATGTCTAGACTTGGATTGATCTTCAGATTTCTGGAAAACCTTGGCAATAGTTGCAAGAATGCGAATGGAATCAAACAGAGCTCAAACAAATGGGATTATCCTAATTCAAGAAAGCCATTGCTGCTGCATTCCAAGGGGGACCGTGTGTGGGCCAGAGCAAAGACTAGTAATTTTTTCCAGTTGTCCTATTTCAAAGTAAACTACTTTAAAAGAATGAAACACTGCAGAAAATAAATGTGACTCCTAACCACTGATACCTGAATACTTGCTGAAACCTATGCAAGCTCTTACTATTTTTAAATTTAACACGCAGCGAAGCCAAAGAGCTCATGTTACATTTGTTTTTTTTACAGAATCAACATTTCGAATATAGTGCATGTTCTTTAATCAAAGGCATTGATTAAATAAGTTCACAATCTCTTCACATGGATGAAACTGCTTCAAGAATTAAACCAATACTAAAACATGGCAAAATGCAACAGAAGGTAAAAATGTGACATTCAGCTAAATCTAAAAAAACCACTTTATGAAACTGTGAATTATTGTGCATTTATAATCTTTTTAAATATCAGGACAAGATCATGTCTCATTCTTGAAAAACAGCTGTGCGATGATATTTCAAACTTGCAATTACTCTGCAAAGAGTTTAATAGCACCCCTTCCCCCAAAAGAGAGTTTTCTCCACCCCCACCCCCACTCCCACTCCGTCCCCCATACCCCGCATCAGGGCATTTTATAAGCGAATGGAAGTGTGGCTGCTTTAGAAACAGTCCTATCAACTTTCTTGGAGGGGATCGGGTTTCTTTTACGGATGAAATAATTTGGAGAGTCGATTCTTCTACAGCGTGAAATTCCCACTTTTCCCCTGGACCCAAGACCGGGATACACCACTGCACAAAACTTAGGAGTTAAAGATTTTATTGTTATATGAAAGTTTAGAATTTTCACAAAGGTAAACAGGTTTTTGTCGAGTGAATTCAGAAGTACTGTTTCACGTTTGATTTCCATGCACTTTGAAGAAATGTGCTGCCAAATATGGTCACACAATTCTTCCTTTTATGGTCGGTAGAGAGCATTGCTGAGCCACCTCAGTTGCCCTTGGTATGACTACCATTAAGTAGGTTTGCCTATTCATCATCTACACAAATAGTATTTTGATAAATTTGCCTTTTGCACGGTTGTGAGATGTTTACAAGAAAACAAAACACGCATGGAAAGCTAGCTCCTGCATGAGCTAAGCAGGTTGCTGTGTTCTTTTATCATGATCCAACTTTAACATCCAGTAAGAAATTCCTTGAGCCTTGGGGAAGTCTTCCAAAATTGGAATCAATGTGAACTGCCAACATTTTGAACCCTGACAATATCTGTAAGTATCAAGACACTGAATTAGTCCATAGTATTTCTCTAAACCATTAACAGTTGTGGGAGAGAAAAAAAAGCCACTGGCAAACCCAAGATTTAGCAAGGTTTCATTTCCTCCTTTTCCCTCCAAGCATGAGCATGCAACTGAGAAAATAAAACAAACTCAAAACACGGAAATGTAAGACTGCACAAGACTCTGGTGCTTTGGAAGTTATGATACCACAGGGAAATAAAAGGCAAAGGGCATCAGGTGGTTCTACGAAAATCTGCCTGCCTCCTAACCTCCGGTAGATATCCAAAAGTCTTGATGGTGAGCAGGAGTAATTAGTTGTAAACAAATTTCATCTTGATGAGATACTTCATGCGGATCTGTGCCACGTCATACACGATGTATCTGAAGAACAGAGTTAAAGGAAACATCCTCCTTTCCAAACTACTAGATGATGGAAAACTGTATTCAATTATCAATGCAGACTTTGGACTCACGACTTTTAAACCAGGCTGAAAAAAAGGAATTTACTGTTCCTCAAAGCATTGCTTACTTTGACACTATAGTGCTTCACGATCTTGTAAAACCAGAAAGCTTATCATAGACAGTCACAGGTCCTTAGTTGGACCATCTGTTTCCTACAATTGCACCATAAACAGCTTATGACAAAGAAGGTTTCGTAGCGACTCAGTCCAAGTTCACAGGACAGTGGGTCGTAACAAGCCAGTTCAATATTCAAACAGCCCACGCAGACCCAATGATTTCACAATTTCAAATTTGAGAGAGAAAAATGTGGGAGGCACCACCAAAATTGAGGAAAATGCTTGTTTTCCATTGAGTCCACTTTGAAAACTTTATAAAGCCATATGTCCTACAGCACTTTTTACGGTCCAGCCCATGGTATTTCCATTTTTCTCTTCATGACATCAAAAATTGCATTTTATTTCATAACAGCAATCCTCCACAGACAGGTACACATTTATCAGCCATGTTTATTCCCTGAACAAAATTAAGCAAATCTGCAGATGAGCCTTCTCAGCCCAGAATATAAAACATTGATTAAGTCATTTCCATACTGAGAAAGGATGAAGTCTTTTTCTACCAATGATGCACAAAAGCTTCAAAAGCATGAGTCACTGATATCAAAGCCTTCTTTTGCCAAATAAAATCTTGAAGATCTGAATATGTTGCCCAGCTGGGGTCAATTTCATAGAGCTGATTAAGCACAAAATTTGGTTAAGCGCGAGAAAACCTTGCTTGATAAATCAGGTAACCAGCCAAAACTCCATGTGATGTATATTGTTTTGGGATCGTATTTAGCTGTCTTTTGGTTAGCATGACAATCAGATAGAGTTTGAGCTGGTAACCTTAGTTTTTTTCAAGCAAGGTTTTTTCACACTTAAGCAACTTTTGGCCCCTGGTCTTGGACAAAGGATACTCATTATACAGCAGGCTAGAGTAGACAGAGGAAGATCTTGCAATCCCTGAAGGCACGATAGTGCCATTCTCCAGGTTTACTTGACCGGCTGGATCTGGATATGTTCCGCCTATACCTGCAGGTGTAAAGAGCAAAAATAAAAACACTTTTCAAAGGGATGTTATTCCCTGTGAGTTTTCCCACTATATTTGGTCCCATCTCAGTGTGGGTATGCTTTTATTTTTTCAGGTTTCAGTACGTCTGTTGGTAGCGTTCACCAAGCGTATCTTTCATAAGACCATCTCCAAAATGTGTACACACACATGCCGACCAACACACATGGGTTGGCCTCTACCACACTGAGGGGACAAGCTCCTTTGTTGGGAAAGTTATGGGGACAGAAGTCCCCCCTCCCCCATTATGTTTTTGACCCCACAACATCTGCAGTCTCCACACCTATGCAACAAGTATGAGCAACACGGCAGCCCACACACACACACTGTCTGGACTGTGCTAGCCATTTTCCCTTTTTTGGTCATCATTGTGGTTTGGGCACTTTCCTTCTTTTTAGCCAGCATCATTACGATCCGTGACTGGCCTCTAGACCCTTTTAAAGAAAAAAAACACCACTGGCCTAGATGCTCTTGGGGTTATCTGTGGTACAGTGTCAAAAGCTTCAGAATCAAAGGCAAACTGCAGGGGCGAGATTGGGAGAAAGAGAAATAACTGAAATATTCACCAGTGGATCTGAGGACCACACAGCAGCATCAGATCTACAATTTGTGTTCCTTGTCAAAATTTCATATGTAAACACACTGCAGTGATAAACCAGGATTTTTGAGATTTGGAAAGAGATCATTTGAAAAATGTCCTGAAATCTGGAAAATCCTGACAAATCACACCCCCGAAACTGACCGAATCCCTAAATTTTTTAGTTTGAGGCCTAATAGGAACACACAATGTATAAGGCCCCAATGACGACGGTTTACAGTTATGTAATACCTTGAGTCTCAATAGTGGTGGATGTGATTATTGTTACAAAAAGAGGATTTAAATTTGGAGTTGGTTGAAACACTAACCCTTTGTGCTGTGCTTCCCGCTGGGCAACTGGGTGATGTAGGACGAGTGTGTCAGCTCGTGCATGTTACCGATAGCCACCTCACACAGCAGCATCAGGCCGGTGGGGTTGCTGCGGTTGGTGAAACAGTAGTTGGCACTTTTGGACACCATGTCGGCGAAGTAGACGCCCTTGCCAAACATGTAGCCCGTCTGGTGGACGAAATAAGTCCAACACATAAGAAGTGACTACAAACAGTGAGATTGGGGACGGCAAGAATTTTACAAGCAGATGATGCTAACCTTTACTTTGATCAAAAAGCAGTAACTGCGAATGCTATTCTGAAAAGAGGAAGTCTTTTCTAAAAGTTTCCTGTACTTGTAAAGTGCTATCAGTCTGAATATGTCCAGTACCACTGGTTACTTCTGACCAATTAACAACCTTTTCACAACTATAATAAAAACATTTCGAGCACACAAGCCACATGTGACACGGCCAGACCTAAATATAACATCCTTTTGCTTTTTTAATACCATGAGGTCAAAGACTGACAGACTGTTTGCAAGGAATTCCCTGCGACAGCAATTTCGCTACATCCCTCCACTGACTGAGACAAGAAATGAAACTCACCGCAGGGGCCTCTGGTGGGGCAATACGGAGACCCTGAGACAGGATACCACAGAAGTTGGACAGTCTGGAGCCGTGCCACAACAGCATGCGGTTGTGTAGCTTCTGGAAGGGTTTGTAGCGTGACTTCTCCCCGTCCCGATCTAGTCGGAACACCTTCAAAATGACGACATAGAGTATGGTGTAGTTTGGGGCCAGGCAAAATGCTTAGTATTGAAGAAATTTAAAGATGCTAGTCTACAAGAGAAGAGTTACAATTTCAGTACAAAAGCCTTATCCCGAGTACAGGTTTTACCGCATCAAGGCTCTAAAACAATGTAGTCATTACTTTTCATATGAGGATCAATCTTTACATGGTGGAAAAGTGACTTTGTCTCGAAGCTCATTCACAATAGCTAGCCAGAGATTGCATATACACTGGAGGATATACGTTATCAGGAGCCTGGAAACCAGACTGAATATGTTGGACTTCAAGGCAACTCATCAATAAGAAATGCACATAATCAATTTTTAGTCTGTAAATTCAGATTTTCAGGTACAATCAACCATACACATTGAAAAACTTTGAATGACTTTGTCATCCATGGGGGCAAACACCAAGCCTGGGATATGCTTAGACAAAATGCAGCTATTGTACATGTACATGTAGCTATCCTTTAACCTTTTAACATAGGTAACACTTCATAAATTCTGCTCGGCCATAAACCAGTGATATTGCTGGAGGGGGGTCTAAGACCTCTATACAATAGCCACTGCCCTTGTGAAGTCCACCGGAAAGGTACAGTATCCAAATGTGCAGTGCGAGGCACACATTTCTTAAAGGATTGAATAGAGAATTGGAGCGTTATTCTTCAGTCAACGAGGAAAGGGAGTGAGAGATATTGCCTGACCTCCTCCACTTTGAGTTTGTAGGCACTGTGTGTGGCACCATGGGTGTTCTTGGTGTATGTCTCGATCATCTTAAACTCGTCACTGTCTTTGTCGACAACCTGAAGAGAAATAGAATACATTTAGTCATCGGCTGACTGAAAAATTTTCCCCAAATATGTAACATGCAAGGATAACCAGCTGAACACAGAAAGATGAGTATTTCTGCATACACTTACTGTGAATGTCTTCAACGGGTGGACAGGAACGCAGCTTTTAAAACTTTCACATTGATGCGCCCGGACAAAAGAGGCAACATTGCCAAAACAATCAAGTTAACTTTGCCATCGTGATCGGGAACATATCTCAATAAGTGCACAATAATGACAAGTAGAAAGAATCATATCTGGAAGTGACAGTCTCAAATCTGATTCTATGTTGTTTTTTTTTTTACATTTGTAAGCTGATTTTAGATCACTGTGAGTCAACCTTGGAGGGGACTCTGAAAACACCTGCGCGTTTTGGGGAATCAGGATGTGATGTTGAATGTCTGCTGTTGAAAATCACATCCTCATCACAGCCACGCTTTGATTGCAAAATTACATCATGCCCATTTACAGGCCAAGGATTGGGCGAACTATGCCCACCAGCAACTGAACAGTGCATGGCGGCACTTAGCCACCAAAACCAATCCTCCAGGCACTTGTCTCAAGACTCTTGATCTGATACCATTCAGTGCATGTCTCTAGTTTGGAAGCATCAACTGAATCTGTTCCTGACCTCCATGAGGCATTTGAGCTTCTCATAGTTGGCATCAATGGGGCTCTTTGCAGTGTTTCCCTGGCTGGCCTTCAGGAGACTGTAGGCCACTTCAATCTCCAGCAGACTGTCTAGCATCTTGGTTTTCAGCTACATGTTAGGAGACCAAAACACCAAACACACACACACATGAAGTTGAAAGCAAGACCCAATTCCTAAAACAGGATCTTAGAAATGTCTGTCTTGAAAAACTTTCTGACTTTTTGTTTTTTAACGTTCGTGACTGAAACTGTGCTGCTTCTCATTGTCTCCTCTCTACAGGTTTCTTCAGGCTTGCAAGCTACAGTGCCTTGGCCACTTCTGAGGAACCCTCGGTGTCATTACCCAGTATAGTCTCATCGTTAGGCAATGACTTCCTAATAGCAAGTCTCTGACTCAATATGAGTTGATTTTTTTGCCACTAAAACGTCAAACTGTATAATACAGAGTCAAAAATGCGAGTGCTTTCATCTGGCCTGAGAGTCAAAGGGCTCAATTGACTTTTTAATTTTAATCATCATCCAATGAAGATGTTCGACAAACAAACAAACTTTCCAACCTGTATGACTTCCAGGGTGTCCAACAAGGGAATGGAGTTGAAACCAAAGTTATGGGGTATGAGGGTGAAGAACCTGTTGGTAGCATCTAGCATGGCATTCCTGCTGGCGTTGCCTGCCTCAATCAGCTGGGGAGAGGATGAAAAGGAATGCATCTTGAATGAAGTCTCAATGGTAAACGCAGACCTGGTATCATACGCACTGGAAGCATACATGCCCAACTGTCACAGTGACATTGATACTGTGGATCTGTTACAAGTCAATCAGTTTTTAAAACATTTGTTGTTAAAGAAAACAGTTATTCCCTGACAGCCATGCGGTCTCCTCATACACCACACCTTTGAGGGATATAGGCAAAGAGGGTCACACATGCAGGTACCATTAATGTCCTTGATGTATACACAACTCGTAACGGTTAGGACACCTTGCTTTTTTGCTTCTCTGTTAGAGTGATGTCGAAACTATGACTCTGGTAGGTTAGAAGTCTTTAAGTCATCAGCTTCAAACACATCTGTTGGCACTTGGTGAAGAGCTTTGGCTTCCATTATGCAACCACCTTACAGGAAGTGAGGCAAAAGACAGAACACAATCTACCGATACCAGGCACGCAACTTGGACTTTTACAAAAACCAAGCAAATTCCAATCTTTACAAGACTTTGTATGGTGTTCAATTTTCAATGGCATGAGTGTGAAGTGCAAAATGAGGAAATCGGCTGATCCTAGGAGAGTTGCATGCCTGAGACTACATGTGCACATTTACATGCAATGTAACTGTCCTCAATGGAGACAAAACTTATTGTGCTTTTCCACACGAGTCGCATCATTAAACTCTTGACAAGAGGGTCAGGGGTTGGAACCCAGTTGCTGGCCCCAAGCTGCAGCCATTGGGAAGTCAAATTCAACCATAACTGTCTTTCCCAACCAGAGGACAAACAGGTGCTAGAACCAGCTGAAAAAAAAAATGAGTATTAACTGGACCGACCTTCCATCCAGGAAAACTTAAAAAATTCTAAGTCATTAGCTTGGAACAGACTTTACTTGTTTACTTCAAGAGATGACCATGTGACATATTCCCTTATTTAAAGCAAAAAATGTAGATAAGAAAGCATTTCTGAGACCCCCGATGAAGAATACTTGACGACTAAGAACTACAGCCAGATGGATTACACAGCCTGAACTTTAAAGGCCTAATTCCCTCCGTTTGGGCATGAATGGGAATTCTATCTGAAGAGTTTGCATGTACAATTGTACATTTAAAATCAATTCCTTCAGAAAACCAAAAAGACCTGATCGCGAATCAAGTTTATGACAGGGTGAAATTGTGTGCCACAGCGTAGTGGAAATCATGAAAGTACAGTAAAAAGTAAACACACATGAAGAGGGAAACGTGCATTTGCTGAAAAACAAAAACTTGACTTTCTCACTCACATCAAACACAATTTGTTTGCCCTCATGTCAAGTTTGAGAACGAGTTCGCTCAAGCACTTGGGTGCAAATATTTGCCGACCATTTCTTGTCTACATACCCATGTTTTGAATTATATCAAAGCACAGAAGACAGGGGAACAAATTTCTGAGGACAAAGTAATAATTTCCATTTAAAGCACCATGCGTCAGTGTCTCTTCAGAGGGTTTATATTATGGTTGACATGGATCCCAAAAGAGACACTCAAATATCAGATCTGTGGCAACCAATATCCTACTAATCCACACAAAGTGCTGCCTAGGCTACTCAGAGAAGAGAGACCTTTTTTCTGTTAATTCAACTCTGAGTGGAATTAAGCTAAGTGAAGGTGCACCCAGTGTAAATTAAATCTTAAAGGGATACTTTTGGTCATGATTTGCCTACCAAAAACCTGTAAGAACAGCCCCCGGCCTGTACTATTAGCCAATGAACAAACACTGTCCAAAATACACAAGGACTTCAAAACCTTGATAGGATGGAAAGGCTGACAATAACTTACTGTTTGAAGCTCCGTCAGGACGGAATAGGCATTTTGTATCTGGCTGCGAGATAATTTCCCCAGAGGCATCTTGTCCATGTCAATCTGGGGGGGAGAGTTACGCTATTACATCAACACTGCACTTTATCGAGCTCTGCAAGCTGATGAAAGGTGTCGCAGTTTCTTTTCTCTCACCTGCACTTCAAAGATGCTGAGAGGGCTCTTTGAAGATCAAAGACAATGCTCCGCGGAGACATCAAAATCCCCTTTACACCTTCAGGCCATGTTTGAGTGACTAGTCAAGATATGTGCAAATGTAACACTGACATAGATGACTGTTGCACTGTGACACTGACTGTTACACTTCTGTTACACAGATGTCAAGTTTCAGTCCACAATGAGCCAGTTCCGAATTTAATAATAATAATATTCGTTATTTCAAAAAGGCAAAAGGTCATTTGAGAACACAGCGCCGTATGTCATGCCGGTTCAAACAAGTTCAGTGTGTGTGAGGCCCTTGAAATAGGGCTGACCTTGCATGTTCACATATTGCTTTGTTGGAATAAATTATGACATCCTTCAGTTTGAGCATGTGCTCTCTAAATACTGAACTCACTCAAAGCTCATTATTCTCTTCTTATTCAACCTTAAAATACATGTACAATCACCAAGAACTTGTCACCCTAGTGTACAGATGAGCATGAGGCAACTGAGGTGATTAGTCTGCACTGAGCTCACCTCGAACTCAACCATGGTCTTCTTTAGAGTGTCAATGTCGAAGATGAGTTTCATCAAGTTCTGGATCTGTGGATGTAACTTGGATTCAACATCAGTGTTGGCTCCGAGCTTTGCAATCTCATCCTGGAAACAAGGATTAAATGAAATGCAGCAAGTGAAGGAACAAATATGGAATTGGTTAACAGAATACAAACAGAGAGGAGATGGATCACTGAAAGATATTAGGAAGGAAGACACAACAGAAAAATTAAGCCAGAATGACCAACGATCTGCTGTCAGTACGCAAAGAGGGGGTTAACAGCACTGGAGGATGGAAAACATCAAGCATGGACGAATGGAAAGAATAAAGAAAGCAATGAAAGCCATGTTTTAATAAAAACAGTCAGAACATGTTTATGAGGGAGCCTGGAAAGTAGCCATCATGATCAGTTGAAAAGGAAGTAAGGAACTACACAATTACACAAGGAAATTAAAGGAAATACAGAATCAAAGAAGTAACAAAACCAGGAACGAAAAAGCAAGAAAGCACAAAGCAAGGACTCGTGGTAGCAGGGGAAACAATATCAGGAAGCATAAAAGCAAAGAAACAAGAAAGCACAAGAGCAAAGAAACAAGACAGCAACGCGAAACAATGAATGAAAGAAGCAAGGAAAAAAAAACGGAAGCGGGGAACCATGGAAGAGCAAGGAACTACAATGTATGGAAGCAAGGAAAAACGGAAGCAGTGAACTATGGAAGCACAAGGAACTACAATGAATGGAAGCAAGGAAAAACAGAAGCAGGGAACCATGGAAAACCAAGGAACTAAAATGTATGGAAGCAAGAAAGCAAAGAAACAAGAGAGCAAGGAAACAGAAAAGCATGGAAGCAAACAAACAAGAAGTGTGAAAACAAGGAGACAAAGAACCTGAAAGTAAGCAGATAAAGAAAGTAAGCGAGGCAAGAGTGAAAGGACACAAGACAGCAAGGAATCAAAAAGCAAAAATTAGGAACTACATGTGTAAAGAGCAACAAAGCAAGTAAACCACAAAGAGGTACGCAAGAGTGGGACAAGAGAAAAGAATTAAGTAAACCAAGAATTCTGGATGACAAAAAAGTGAGGATACAAGGATATCAGAAGAAAGGTAACAAGAATTTGATGTAATGGTTATTTCCTTGCCTTTCACTTCTGTGGCCTGGGTTCAATTACCGGCTCGGTCCACATGTGGAATGGGATTTCAGTCCCTACCTGATTCAGTGGGTTTTATTCAGAACATTCCTCTGGGGTTTTCCTCCCATCTCTAAAATGCTAACTGCTTCTCACTGTCTCCTCTTTACAGGTTTCATCAGGCTTTTCACATGTATGAGCTACAGTGCCAAGCACACAAGTGAGGATTCCTTGGTTTCATTACCAGAAATACTTAATACTAACAAGGATAATAACGAGGCCCCAAGGAAAGATACACAAAGACAAAGCATAAGCAGGAAACAAGCTCAAAAGAAAATGCGTACGTCATCTCCATAGTCAATATCCAGTGGGTAGAACCTATGGGGGATCTTCTCAAAGTTCTTGGTGCCAAAAGGGTTTCCGGTCTTCTCAGTGTAAACGTCCACAAAGTTTCTGCGGGCATCAGATTTCCTGGATCCAAACGACTCCACCTTTTTACCTCCAATACCTGTGCCGACGCGTCCCCAGGACCTGAAGACCCAGTACCTGTTGAGAAAATGAGGAATGAGGTGGCAGTAGTAAGTATTTCCTGATTTGAAGACATCAAGATTTTTGAAATATCTACAGATGGACATTTGATAACCTCACCTGCTTCCCCCGTCACTCTCCAGCAGCTGCAGCTTGTAGTAAGAGTTGGAGCCTCTGGTGACGTCCACCATTCCCAATGTTGCACTAAACAATAAGCCACTCTCCTTGAGTACATGGGCCGTGTCCTCCAGTCCTGCACATCGAGAGGAAATAAAATATACTTCATATGTCATCAACACATCCTGAAAGTCAGCAGCCACTTCAACTGTTTCACCTTAGTTTCTCTTACCAACTTTAGCTGCGTCCTTTTTATTTACTACCTAAATAGGTTGATGTCGGTAATTAACTAGATACCACAGCCGTGGTTAACCACTTGATGCTGGATGATGTGTAAATACGCACAAGTTTCCTAAAGACTTGTTCCACGGAGGAGGTGTATGCTCCTTTTTTTCCCATTTCCGCAGTTGACCTATTAACGAGTCATGCTCGGTTGGATCAAAGTGCAGAGGACAATCCTGCACCCGGACACTGCTATTAAGTGGAAACACCCCCAACCAACAATAAAATGGAAACACTTTCTTGAATAATCTGAATCAAATTGGAGAGGATTGGGGAGCCAAAAGATCTAAGGGGATTAAAGACTCCTTTGTTTGGATAAGCTGATTTTCTAGGGAGTGAAACTATTCTTACAAAAGAGACACTAACACAAAATTTCAACTAGCAACTCCTTTGAATCAAAACAATTGGCAAAAAACAAGCATGGCCGCAGGCGACGCCTGTATATGCTTTGGACCTTTTGTATGTGAACTGGTTGACATGTGGACGGCGCAACAAGTTTTACCAGGGCAGTTGAGAAGCGGGGAAAGGGATGAAAATACTGATGCCTAAACTCAAGAGTTATGCCTCCTTAAACAATTATATTTCATAAATAAATTGCAAGGTTGAAGAATTTGCAGAAAAGAAACCCATTCAGGTAAAAAAATCTGACATTAACTGGCTTTCTGACATTAACTGGCTATTGGTTCCTGCAGTTGCTACATGTAGCTCTGCTTCAAATATAAATAACACCATATATAAACAGTATTTTGCCCCAAACTTGGTGTTTTGTTAATAGCCCAGAACAATACATTTCTGAAGTACCTTGGCCTGACCAAAGCAACTGTACAATACACATGCATATACATGTACATGCAAATTATGTGAGAGCTGAGGAACATGTGCAGGTGAATGACACCTGATTTCCCACAGTGAGCCCAAACCACACATAGTACAGCCACAGAACAGAGTCTTTAGAGTAGGTGACAGCCGTGTTTTTACAACACATAAATGGCACTAAAATTCAATACCATTTACAGATTGTTTTCACTATGGATACGCATCATAACTAACTAGCTGGAGCTGCAAAATGCCCACGGCTTGAAATCATTTGACAATCTGTCATTAAAAACCTGCATGATACGTTCCATTGTGGCACAAGCTTTCGATCAGCTGGGCTAAAATTAAAGACTACATATAGCTGGCACCGTCAGTAAAGATGGTATTGTGTCTTGAATTGGACAGAATTAGTTTAACCTTGTAGTGCAAAACAAATTTATTGATGAGAATAACAACCTCTGAATGCTATTGAACTCCGAAGCTGTTATCACACCTGGTTTTCTCATTGTCCTCTTTTTGGCCTGCTTTACTGAATGTCACAAACAAATTATCTCAGTACTGGTTGGCATAATAACCCAAGCTGTGTTTTCTAAATTATTTCTCTTCTGTTTAGTTTTCGTTCCCAGTGTCTGCAGCATTGGCCATGCCAGATTAGTCAATAAATCAAAGAGCGAGAATGCCACTGGCAATGCAGCCGGCATCAGCTATGTGGTATCTATGGTAACAGATGACTCTTGCCTTATTTCTGGCAGGAATTAAAAAAAAATCATGGGTTTGTATCTGTGTATGTACGAACTTCCCCCAGTTTCGTTTCTCTGATTCTATCAAACTTTAAAAAAAGGAGAAAAAAAAAGAAAAGAGTAGACTCCAAGACAGCTTTGAGTGGCCAACAATGACCTTTGGTCCATGTCGACTCCGGCACGGCAATATTGTGATGGATACAGAGATTGCATGTGAAGCCATCAGCAACAAACAAAGCAGTTGCAGGTGAGATATGGTTGCCTTAGTTACTAAGTATTTCAAGCGTGTATATGTGTTTCATACTCTGCCACAGAGCCTTGATCAATATGACGCTGGCAGGAGGGGCATCAATTCACTTGTAAGATCCACTTCAAGATTTTCACACTATGATAAGCCCATATACCGGAACTGGTGCGGGTACTTGTACGTCACAATGAAAGTCAACAGCATCCTAGTTAGCTACACAGTGCAAATAACGACGGTACATGTAAGATCATCACCTTGGCAGCAAAATTAAACTTATCTTGCTCTTGTCTAGAGAAAGGTTTTCTGATTGAGTGAGGAGATCGCTTAGATATTTTGTGCAGAAAATATCTCGATGAGCCTTCATGTGTCATTTGGAAAACAGTCGCCCAAGGCAAGCAACATGGTGTCATCCCAACTTTGAACTGAATAGGAAACATGTTTCTCTTAAAAGTGCCAATCTTCCATGTTGACTATTAAACCTCTTTTATGGTTGATCAGCGTGTTTGACAAAAGCAACTTCAAATCCCTCAGAAAGGTGTTGCTGAATCGCATAGGGTTCACCCCAAATTGATTCAGCACTACAAATGTGATAGTCGAAGCGTAGCTCACAGCCAATCATTGTAAACCTCTTTGGATATATGCAAATCACTTTGGGTTGTTCTATTGCTCAATAGGGGAATGCTTTCCTCCTTCAGGGACTTGATTCACTGCACAGAGATGGTCCGGCATGCACTGGTTACGGCCTGTGTGAGATTTGACCAGATGCAGTCAGTCTGCTCATCAGTCACCAGATATCCATCGGATGTTTGTGATCTGGTCTGCTGCACATTTCATCTGTTAGCTGAAAAGACTACTCGGCACTCATCTCATCGACGTGATTGCTTCTACTAAATGCCAAGATCGTTAGTGCCAATCTGGATGTATTCAATGCAATTCTGACCGTTTTCCTGGATTACTGAGTGTTCTCAAAAGAGCCCTGAGAGGTGACAACTGGGAACCCTACAGGTAAATTTCAACATTCTGTACCATAGAAACCTTATTAGTCATTCAATCCTGTTATTAGTCCTTTTTATTCTGCATGATTTTTAAAAAATTGTTGTAAAAGATTTAAAACATGGGGAATTAATTTTTCATTTTGTGTTTTAAGTTACCAATTGTAGAGAGTTTAATTTGTAACTTTTTGTTCAAAAGTTTTCAAGAAGATGGTCATATTCCTTACTGGAGGGAAAGGCTTTAGCTTAAAACAACTAAATCACAAAGTCCTGGTTTGCCTGTGCACGTGTGTACTATACATTAACAATTTTGTTGCTCTGTTCTTGTTGAAGTCCATAAAACTGACTCGAATTAGTCTTTCATTTTTTCAATAAAGCAGTCCTCATCCTTTTGTAGACATCCATTTGGGAAATAGGCAATTTTTTAAAGAAAAGGTATTTCTTCATACATGATCATTTTGAGGCTTGTATTTTGTGAAATGTCCCCGAGTTACTAAACAGGATTCCAGATATCAGTCACCATTTTTGCCACACTGCTCACATCAAAACAAATTCTAGCTACAATCCAACCAACCAACCAGAGGGCGAAAAAATTGCTCTTAGGAAATCGATGAGGTGCAAAATTGTAGCTGGAATGTAGGCTATTGTTTAAGTATTGCTGATGGAAAAAAAAACTATGTGAGGTTCACACTAATATTGAAAAGAAAAAAAGAGATGTCTTCAAGTTTTACAGAAATTTCCTGAAAAAAAATTTCCATCTATCAATTCCCCTCCAAACTTTCTCACTGCCCAACATTTTAATGGTGTCCACCCCATCAATCCAATAAATTACATCAGTAAGACTTCATTCATATAAAGAACTTTCAAGGAAAATGTAAAGAAGCCTAATATTTGTTACTGGATGGTAGCAGCACGGTCTGAGCAGGCAATTTGATTAATTCACTGCACCTGGTCAATAGGTTTAAACAGAATAAACAGAGATGGACTCTACTGACTCAGGAATGTACATATTTCTCAGATTGACACAGCCATCTCCAACTCGGTTTATTAAAGGACACTAAATTATTGAATATGATGGTTGCTAGTCTCAATGTAAACTAATTCAGCCTTTGTAACTAAATTAAAGTATTCCTTATTGTTCAAAACAGCAAATAATGCCCCTCAGCCTGGTAATATTACAGAGTTAGGTGTGTATTTAAGTTCTGTAAAAAAAGAAATTATGGGGGTATTTTCAAGTGATCAGGAAACAACATACTCCAGGAGAAAAAAGGCTTTCTTTTATTGGAGGGGTATTTTTTTTAAATAGGCAACCTTAATATTTACACATATACTAGATGTGCTTTGGTCGATTTTGGTTTTTGAAAAAACTACAATTGGGGCAAAATGTTTACGTACATTTGGTAGAAAAACAGTTTTCCTCAATTTTAACTTTTTAAATAGTTGTGCCCACTTTTTCTTTCTGAGGTCAGACAAATTGTATCTCAAATTAATGTTCATAGTGTGGACTTCAATTGAAAATACTTAGAGACATTTATTATGGTTCAAAATATTAATATTTCTGAAATTTTATGTAAATTTTCAGATCTACATTTAAAAGATCCCCTTTTTAGTTGGAGATTTAAATTCTTGTACACAGACTCACGACAAGATTTCTTGTAAGACAGAAACGTCACCACATCACCGAATCGGTAGCACTGATCATGAAGTCAATGGCACTTCAACGTACACCCTTTCATGTACTCCAGGGGTCGGAAGTTGTACAGAACATAAGTATCATCGGGCTATGGAATGACAGGATCGATGCGGCTGCTTAAATTACATGCCGGCAAAATTAAAATCAACATTACCGTCTATACGAGGCACGCTGAACTTTAATCAACATGAGCCATTATTTACGCAGTGCCATTGTAGTGCTAGTGTCTCCAAGAAGGTTTTCAAAATGTCATCAGTTCAGGTATTCATTCTAACTGTAGACGCTATCTCATGTTACCCCAGCCTTGTCTCCCCCAAAACAACCTCAGCAGGGCTGTGCCGAATATCTGAATATCCAAATATTCGATCAATTATCAAATATTCAATGTTTTTTTCGACTTTGAATATCTTCATGCAAAGTTCATGAAAAGGGAGAATTTTCCTTTGTTTTAAATGAGAAAAATTGCACTATGGAGGCTTATTTCCAGCACATTCAACTGAAAAGTGACAAAAATCTCACAACTTAAAAAATTATTTATTTCAAAAAATTTGAAAAGGAATAGAAATTTTCAACAGGGCAGGAAGTATTGGTTATCTTTTAAATCTTGCTAAATAATGGCTGGAGTTATCCCTAGACATGAGAAGCTATAATACTGATTACAACATACATTGCGTGCATTATTGCAACTAATTTTGTATATGGGTAATTCCAGAAAATAGGGGTCCATTTTTTGGTGTCCCTGTCACATCTGACATATGACTTTGTAAGTTCAAAACACATTTTCTGATTTCCAAGAATTGCAAATTGCCTGTCAAACCACTAGTAATAGTTTGAAATCAATTCCAGTGATATTTCCATATTAAATAACAAAGGTCAGATGTAACAGGGACACAAAAATGTCCCACTTTTGGACCCCTAATTTCTGGAATAACCCATATGGTTTAATCATCAACAATCTGCCAGTTGGTAAGACTGAATATTCGATCAAATTGAAGGTCGAAGATTCGAATAGCAAATTATTTGAATTGACTCAGCCCTAAACCTCAGCTCTGACGACCCAGACTACCAGTATATGTACCAAGGAAACTGCTCCTTATCCCCCTTTCTTTTCAAAATGAAATGAGAACAAAAGTGATGCAGAGAAATTGGAGGGGTTGACATTTTTAAAAGAGGAGTCACAAGATTGTCAAATTTGAAATTCAATTTGGGAGGGTGTGCTGAATATGGAAATCAAAAGCCTTTCTTTGTAACAAACCAGGCTACGTGTATAATTGAGTAAAAGTATATCATGGGAGAACAAATTATTTGATTGCAATTTGTAAGACTTGACCTATTCCAGGCGACCAGTTTTTTTTCCACAGCTGACCAATCCAAACATTTGGCAGTAGGAAGCTCCTTGTTAATTTTTAGACAGTGAACTGTGGCTAATGTCAGATGGTAGTTCATTAACTCCAATCCAAGATAAAAAAATTACCATGGTGACAGAAAAAATAATTCCCTACTTAAGCGTACCCATTGCCCAGATTGTAAAGGGAGGAAAGATGACGCACAAATGGCACAGTGCACCCAGGCCACCAAGCTGGGAATTTAAAACCACCACTGTCGGGTCGTGTTTCATGATTTCTGCAACAGAATAGGTGTATTAAGTGATTTAGGCAGCACCTTGATTGCCGGTGCTAAAGCAGTGCTGATTTACTCAATGGTGCCAACAATACAACAACCACAAGCACATAAAGGTACACTGTACATGTATATGCAAAACTGACAGGGCTAGGGTGACAGCAAGCAGCCAGGGGGCTTATGTTTGCAGTGAGCCACAGGTTTCCTCATTTTTGTTAAATTGGCTTTTCTTAAATTTAATTCCTGCTGCAGGTACTTTCCTTAATTTTTTCAAACTTGAGCAATGGGCAAAGACGCTTGAGAACGCAGTAGAGAAAAAAAATTGCCATATGCAATGCTGGAAATAAATACATTCAGAGGTGAGTTTGGAGAGAAGGCTTTCCTGTAAGTAAAAAATAAAATCAAATTCGCCCTTTGTAACTTTCAGCTCTTGTATCTTTCAAACAAGTTTTAGTTTTGGGCCTGGCCTGATTATCTGTTCATCCCATCTCTTAAGTGGGTTGTGATTTGCCATGTAATTCATCCATGCTATTCCAAAACTCCTCGTTCAAGGAGGCTGTGCGACACGTTTATGTACGCATCGGACAGAGTGACAAGTGCGTGCTGCCAATGCCACCAGGTGTCATTCATCACGCGCAGGAGTGAGACGATCCACGAGCCTTGTTACTGGACACGCCTGCGACATGACGGGTGCCTGCGGCATATTAGCTTTGTAAATTACCGTGTAATTTCTGCTCGGATTGATGACAGGATGTTCACATATTTCCTAGCTCGTGAAGTTTTTTTCTAGGGCCGGTTAACATACCTCTCTACATTTTCACCTCTTTTGCACTTACAACAAACGGCCAGATAATACTGTTCACAGTGTATGTGTTATTAAATTGTCTACACCGGTACCTGTGGGTTCGATGAGATCTGAAGCTTTTCATGGTGGAGATACAAAGGTAAACTAGATAGGTTTGTGGTAGCACCATGGATATATCTCTTTTTTGAGCATGTTAGGTTCTGAAAAGAACCGATGGTACTCAATGTTTCAGACAGTGTGCTCGTCAGGAGGCCTGTGGGTTCATTGTGATATTTTAATCACTACCCAACGTCATGAATTTATGGATCCGAAGGTCTGAATGAGAATAAGCTGAAAGGGACATTTTCACCTACCAGTAGCCAAGGGAGATGACCTTTCACCCCCCAGGACGAGGGTTCTTTCCCATCCTTGTACCCTATAATCCATTCATAATCTTAATGCATTATTCCTCATTACAAAAATCTCAGCGTACATGTATACGGAAACTGTACCTACCGTAATTAAATTTGGATTCTTTCTTGGTGGCAACCAAATCTTTCAATGGGAAGTAAGGTCAACAAATCTGGAACAAATCCTTCATGTAAGTCTGGCGTGCAGTTCAACTTAAATTAGAAAAAGACTGACTGACGCTAGAGACAGGTGTGCCAAAATCCATACAGAGGCCAGATCAAAGATGCAAAATTGCTCCAATCGATGCAAAATAATTTAAACGTTTGATGAACCTTGAAACAGGAAAGACCAGTGGAGCAGTTGCAAGTACATGCAATAAAGAGCGACAAGGTTGGAAGATATCCCTCAATCTTTTCTTCCCACATGTAAATGTCAAGGATTTGAAAACATCTCAAAGCACTGAGTGCTACAGAAATATGGGGGTGGGCTTTGGTTAGCCAAGAAT